ACAGGCGATCAAATACCACAGAAGAAAGCTCTATTTGTGGGATAAAAGGACAGAAATGTCATCTGGGTGCAGCGTTGCATGACCGCGCAATTTTCAGCTAAAGTAACGCAGCGCCGTATCGCAAAATATGGCCTGGTCTAGAAGGGGGGGAAATCCTCTAGAGAGCAAGTGGTTGAGATTGGAAGCTGGCGGCACGGACTACCAATCATGTGACCCTGTGACAGCCAATCACAGTAGACTTCAACAAAATGGTGGTCATCTGCACATAGACACTGACTGCCTGTCTCACAAATGTGAATGAGATGGGTGAAAGATGGCTCCAGCTCTTGTTCACCCATAGAGAACTCCTCAGACGTGTTTTACCCTTTTTGGAGCTTAACCAAAGGACGAAACGCGTTTGAGTTCTCTACGGATGGAGAATAAGAGCTGAAGCCATCTTTTACCCATCTCATTCACATTTATTGGGATTTTTTTTTTATTAAAGACATGTAGCAGAATACATTTTTGGCCCACATTCTGCTACATTTTATGAAGACATTTAAATTTTTTTTTATTGGATATGTTTTAGGACAGAAAGTATAAAATATTGTTTGCTTTTTTCAAAATTTTCTGTCTTTTTATATAAAAAAAAATAAAACCCCCAGTGGTGCTGAAATACCACCAAAAGAAATCTCTATTTGTGTGAAAAAAAATTTCACTTGGATACAGTGCTGCATGACCGCGCAATTGCTATAGTATCACAGTCCCGAATAGCAAGAAAAAAATGCCTGGGTCATGAAGGGGGTAAAACTGTCCGGGGCTTAAGTGATTAAACTAGTTGTGGTTAAAAGGTTTGTTTTATTAAAAAAAAAACGACAATTGATAGTTTTTATAAAAAAAAAGACAACAAAAAAAAAAACGACAATTGATACTTCGTTTTTTTTTTTTAAAAAAGTATCAGTTTTTATAAAACAAAACAAAAAAAAAAGACATTTGATAATTTTTTTTAAAATAAAACTATCAATTGTCTTTTTTTTTCTTTTTTTTTTTTTTTTTTTATAAAAACTGATACTTGGTTTTATTTAAAAAAAAGAAGTATCAGTTTTTATAAAAAAAAAGACAATTGATAATTTTATTATTAAAAAAAAGTATCAATTGTCTTTTTTTTGTTTTTATAAAAACTGATACTTTTATTTTTAAATAAAACTAAGTATCAGTTTTTATAAAAAACAAAACAACACAAAAAAAGATAATTGATACTTAGTTTTATTCTTAAAAAAAAGTAAGTATCAGTTTTTATTAAAAAAAAAAACAAAACAAAAAAGACAATTGATAGTTTTATTTTAAAAAGTATCAATTGTCTCTTTTTGTTTTGTTTTTATAAAAAACTGATACTTAGTTTTATAAAAAAAAAAAAAATCAGTTTTTATAAAAAAAACAAAAAAAAAGACAATTGATAGTTTTATTAAATAAAAAAAAAGACAATTGATACTTACTTACTTTTTTTAATAAAACTATTAAATTTTGTTTTTGTTTTTTATTTTTAAATATAAATAAAAAACAAAAAAAAAAAAAAACAACAACAATTGATAATTTATAATAAAACATCAATTGTCTTTTTTTTTTTTTTTTTTTTTTTTTAAATAAAAACTAAGTATCAGTTTTTATAAAAAACAAAACAACACAAAAAAAAAGATAATAAAAAAAAAGTGATACTTACTTTTTTTTTTAAATAAAACTAAGTATCGATTTGTTTTTTTTTTTTTTTTTTTTTTTACAAAAACTGATACTTGGTTTTATTTAAAAAAAGAAATTGTATCAGTTTTTATAAAAAAAAAAAAAACAACAAAAAAAAAAAGACAATTGATAGTTTTATTATAAATTTTCAATTGTCTTTTTTGTTTTTGTTTTTTTTTTAAAAACTGATACTTCTTTTTTTTTAAATAAAACTAAGTATCGATTGTCTTTTTTTTTTTTTTTTTTTTTACAAAAACTGATACTTGGTTTTATTTAAAAAAAGAAGTATCAGTTTTTATAAAAAAAAAAAAAACAACAAAAAAAAGACAATTGATAGTTTTATTATAAATTATCAATTGTCTTTTTTGTTTTTGTTTTTTTATAAAAAACTGATACTTCTTTTTTTTTAAATAAAACTAAGTATCAGTTTTTATAAAAAAACAAAAACAGACAATTGATACTTACTTTTTTTTTTAATAAAACTATCAATTGTCTTTTTTTTTTTTTTTTAAATAAAAACTGATACTTTTTAAAAAAAATAAAACGAAGTATCAATTGTCATTTTTTTTTTTGTTGTTTTTTATATCTGCCTATAATTAGCTTAACTATGTTGTTTTTTCTGCCAGGCTCGTAGTTTAGAATTGTTGTTCTTGGTTGCAAGCTTTTTTTTTTTTTTTTTTTTTTTCCAACATCTTCTTTTGTGTTTGATCTGCTTTGATGACACACTTACATGCATGATGTTATGTAACACGGGATTACTCAACGCTTCCGTGTCATTGGAATACGTCTCATGACATAAGCATTCAGTAATAACAGGATAGATTACAACTTATACATGTACTAATATGGAAAGTATGGGAGCTCGGTGCTCCACCCCAACTAATACTCCTGCCTCTCCATGGAGATTTCAGTAAAGCTGTCCATAGACTATACAATCTGATTGTACCATCTCCCTTACCTCAGGTTCAAACCTAAAGCGTTTTGCAGAAACCCAGTACAGTCCATTTAACATGATTTCCTATGGGACACGTTCACATCCCCGCGTTTTTACCCGGTGCGCTTTTGGAAAGGGTCAGGGACCTTTTTTTTTTTTAACGCAAAAAGTTGCGTTTTTGGTTCTATAGACTTCAATGGAGACGCTGCAGAAAAAGCATATAGTGGGCTTTTGACACATTTTTGATGCGTTTTGCGGTTTAAATCTGCCTAGCAACAAGAAAAAATGGGGGAAAAAGTGGCAAAATCACAATGCACAATGCAATGCAGAAACGGCTCAAACGCAACCTGCATAGGGGTGAGCCTAGCCTAAGGCTTGGTTCACACCTACAGGTGCAACCGAGCGCGCAATTTCAGCACATGTCGTTCATAAGACGCGCAGGAAATGCGGAAAAGAAGTCCCTGACTTTTTTTTTTTTTCTTCCAAAAAACAAGCACCAAATCGCATGGTAGTGTTGCTAGTCGGCTAAAGGGCAACGTGTTTCTCTGCACGTTGGGAAAGCGTGATTTTTTTGTGCCCGACACACAGAGATGTGGACCTAGCTTTAGATCTGCCATCACCTCTGTAGTGCATGGGCCTGCCTGATTTGGATATTGAATGGATTAGTTAGCTTGGCCCTATAGTTTTGTAGATTGTACAATCCGATTGTATACTGTATGGCCACCTTCAGAATATTTTTTTTTTTTTTGCGCTGGGGTCTAGGTAGAAGCAGTGGCCTCTCTGCCGAGGTCTAGGTAGAAGCTGCGGCCTCTCTGCCGAGGTCTAGGTGGAAGCGGCGGCCTCTCTGCCGAGGTCTAGGTGGAAGCGGCGGCCTCTCTGCCGAGGTCTAGGTGGAAGCGGCGGCCTCTTTTTGAGGTCTAGGTAGAAGCGGCGGCCTCTCTGCGGCGGTCTAGGTAGAAGCGGCGGCCTCTAGGTAGAAGCGGCGGCGGCGGTCTAGGTAGAAGCGGCGGCCTCTCTGCGGGGTCTAGGTAGAAGCGGCGGCCTCTCTGCGGGGTCTAGGTAGAAGCGGCGGCCTCTCTGCGGCAGTCTAGGTAGAAGCGGCGGCCTCTCTGCGGCGGTCTAGGTGGAAGCGGCGGCCTCTCTGCGGCGGTCTAGGTAGAAGCGGCGGCCTCTCTGCGGCGGTCTAGGTAGAAGCGGCGGCCTCTCTGCGGCGGTCTAGGTAGAAGCGGCGGCCTCTCTGCGGCGGTCTAGGTAGAAGCGGCGGCCTCTCTGCGGCGGTCTAGGTAGAAGCGGCGGCCTCTCTGCTGAAGTTGCAGCGATTTTGAAAAGGTGCCTGCACTGCTTTGATCCGACTTTTTATGTGACTTAGGTCCAGAGAGGGTAAAGTCGGATCAAAGTCGCACTGTGGAATTGTGCGACTTTCGGGTTGCGCAAGTGTGAATGGAGCCTTAATTATATCGCTTTTTTTTTTTTTTTTTAGAAAAGAGAGAGCTGCAAAAGCGCAGAGTTTTGAATTTCACCCTCTTTGTAAATAGGCCACTTTGAGCCTTTAGTATCAGGTGTCAAAAGATGGCCTACGGCGTGCGTAATCTGTGTCTAGCGGACGCTCTTCAGGCCGAGGAATGAGTGGGGGGGGGGGGGGTACTGAAGTGGTGAGCGAACATATGTAATAGGTGAGTCAGAACACCTTGTACTCTCACATCGTACATGGGGGGCGGTAATGTCAATGGTCGGGCGCAAGGAGCGTGACAACCGATCTGTGCAGACGTATGATGGAAGAAGAGACAACAATCAGTATATCTACTGTATAGCTGTATATATATACTGTGTGTATGTGTGTGTATATATGTGTGTGTGTGTATATATATATATACAGTATATATGTGTGTGTGTGTATATATATATATACAGTATATATGTGTGTGTGTGTGTATATATATATATATATATATATATATATATATATATAATACATACACACACATATACAGTATATATATATAAAACATGTTTTACTTTTTTTTATCATTTATTATTTTTATCATTTACATTTTTGAACATATTTATGTTTTTTTGTTCTCCTCAGATCGTCTCCATTCTACATCTGTCCTCTGGTCCTTCACACCACCGATTGGCCAAGACGGAGGGGATGAACGGATCCTGCGAGCCTCCTCCCCCTCTCGGGGAGAGGGGTCGGAGAAGGCGGGGGTCGCGGGAGATGGAGGGGACGCAGCAGGACGAGACGGACACCAACAGCCACGGCTCCAGCGGGAACGAGTCCAACGGGAACGAATCTCGGCAGAGCCGGAGCTCCCACAGCAGCACGAGCGGCAATGGCAAAGATTCGGCCATGTTGGAGGCCACCGAGAGCAGCAAGAGGTGAGAGAGGCTCAAACTCTAGTTAACCCCTTGCTGCCTAGCCCTTAGGGATCCCTTTTATACTTCTCTCTCCCCCCCGTTGGGGAAGATTGACTGATCAGTTGGCCATTGTGATTGGCTGTCACTATGGTCACATGGTCAGGAGCCGTACCCACCGGCTGCTGATCATTAGCAGGGTCTGAGAGCTGTCTTTGACAGCTCGGTTGCTGTGCTGGGACCACCCTTTCAGCACAGAAAGCTTTGCCGCCAAAGCAGAGGATTAAAGCCTAACGGAGCCTAAAGGAAAGAGTTAATATTTCTGCTAGACTTTTTTTTTTTTTTTTGCCTATAACTCCATGGGGGAGATATTTCATAACTTCCTGTCTTTGTGACACCCATGCAAGATATAGGGAAGGCTGTTGTCACTGGGACATTGAGGCAAATATAGCAACAGAAACATTGTTAAAAGTTCTTTGTAAGGCTGGGTTCACACCTATGCGGTTTGCGTTTGATTTGTTTCTGCGGTGCTTTTTGCGTTTTTGCACGTGTTTTTGATGCGTTTTTGCTTTTTTTTTTTTTTCAACTTGTTGCTGGGCAGAATAAAACGCATCAAAAACGCACTGCATGCTTTTTTCTATAGAACCAAATCCAAAAAAACGCACCGGGTGGAAACGTGGAGATGTGAACCTAGACTGACTTTACTAAAAATGTGTTTCGTGTCTGTGTCCCCGTTTGGGAGATTTCTGATCACTTCCTTTTCTGACAGGAAGTGATGGAAAACCTCACCAGTATGGTAAAGGAAGATCTTTCCGATTGGGACACAAATACCTGACAGAGGCTCTAACTCGTCCTGATCTGATGCAAAACAAAATTTTAAAAAATGGCTGGAATGGGGCTTTAAAGCTGAAGTCTAGGGAGGGCAAATATTATTTTAATCCATTTGTCCTGTGTGTTCTTCCTGGAATCTCAGTGTGATTTCTTCCAGATATGTGCAGTAATGAAACTTCCTGTCATAAAGACCAGTGACTGCTGCTCTCTCCTTGTGCAGGGTGACTGGTCTTGTCTCCGCCCCCTCCTGTAGTTTTCTGCTGGCAGCCTGTAGTGGGTGGAGCCTACTGGGCCCCTCCCATAGTTCTGTTCTCTCTTTGTGCAGGGTGACCGGTCTTGTCTCCGCCCCCTCTGGTAGTTTTCTGCAGGCAGCCTGTAGTGGGTGGAGCCTACTGGGCCCCTCCCATAGTTCTGTTCTCTCTTTGTGCAGGGTGACCGGTCTTGTCTCCGCCCCCTCCTGTAGTTTTCTGCAGGCAGCCTGTAGTGGGTGGAGCCTGCTGGGCCCCTCCCAAAGATCTGTTCTGTCTTTTTGTGCAGGGTGACCAGTCTTGTCTCTGCCCCCTCCCAGGGGAGGACTGACAACTCATGGGGCCCCTGGACAATAGGAGATCATGGGGCCCCTGTGTCCTAGCTCACACTCAAACCACTCTCAAAAAAGCCTATGAAAGGTACCAGGGGCATCTCATGGGGCCCCCTACTGACCCCGGGCTCTCTGGCAGCGCCCGAGTGTCCAAATGGTCAGTCCGCCCCTGCCCCCTCCTGTAGTTTTCTGCAGGCAGGGAACCTGTAGTGGGTGGAGCCTGCTTGGTCTGCTGTCTGTACAGGCAATGTATAGCACTGCTACTTTTACAAGGTGATATCTGGGTTTGCGAATGTATACCGTTTGTGGTTATCAGGGAACATATTAAAATGAAAGCATTTGCGCCCAGAGTTCAGCTTCAAGGGTCATCTATCCAGTCCGCACATTTAGCGGCGCAGTAGTCAGCCTGTGGAATATATCTGACATTCAGCACCATGGAGAGCGCAGAGAGCACACATGGCACCAACAGCAGATCCTGTACTCTAGGAATGTGCGCGGTAGAACCTTTGCAGAGAGCATGTGCAGCAAAGGCAAATCGCCCATGAACGCAAGGTGCTCCATGCATCTGGATTTGCTGCAATTATGGGAAATATTATTTTTTTTTTCCCCCCGAAACTTAACATGCAAGGTCTTGGGAAAAAAGGGAAAGGAGAGACACGGTTGGAACCTTTAAATATATTAGTGGCCCATTTACACCAAGGGCGGCCCTTGCTGCTGTCTGAAAAGCGATCCGCGGTGGCTGGGAGGCGCTATATCTCCTGGTAAGCACCTGTGCATTGCAGGACAGTGGCAGCTCGCCCCCGTTCACTTGCACAGGCCATGTTCAGTGGCGGCATAGACGTCAGACGTGGCAAAGGGTGTCATTTTTGCCACAGCCATGAAGCAAAGCGTCTCAGTCACAGCATATGTACAACCTCCTCCAGCTGCTGTGTCGGGTTAAGAGTGGCAGTTTGGGGGGGGGGGGGGGGGGGGACTGCAGCTCAACTACCTATTCATCCTGATTGTACAGTACACAGGCTTGATATTCATAGACTCTGGGTTATAGGCTGGTATCCCTCCTGCTACATTTGTGAACAGCAGGGGTCCTAGAGCACGGGTGTCAAACTGGCAGCCCTCCAGCTGTTGTCAAACTACAAGTCCCATGTGGCATTGCAAGATTGACAGTTACAAGCATGACTCCCAAAGGCAGAGGCATGATGGGACTTGTAGTTTATATAGATATAGAGCATGGGTGTCAAACTGGTGGCCCTCCAGCTGTTGTCAAACTACAAATCCCACGTGGCATTGCAAGATTGACAGTTACAAGCATGACTCCCAAAGGCAGAGGCATGATGGGACTTGTAGTTTTGCAACAGCTGGAGGGCCACCAGTTTAACACCCCTGTCCTAGACAATAATTCATGGCCAGGACCTGCTGATCGGCTGTGTCCAATCACAGCCCAGAGCCCTGTGTTGACAATCAACCAAGTACTCTGTACAGAGGGAACAATCTCTCTGTTTCTTCTCTCTGCTGCAAAGCAAAAAGAAACAGAGATATTTAATAAAAAAGCAGCACATAATACACACATTACACATGGTTAGGCACACATTTAACCCTTTGATTACCTGAGATGTTAACCCCTTCCCAGCCAGTGTCCTTAGTACAGTGACAGTGTATAGAAATATTAATATCACTTGTGTTGTCAGTTTCCACCCAGTGTCAGTTAGTGTCAGATTGAGTTCCGCGCTATCACAGTCCTGCTATAAGTCACTGATCAGCGCCATTACTAGTAAAAAATGAATAAATACAAGTAGACTTTCACATCCTGACCTTAGGAACCAGGACAATGAGAGTGAGGTGTTAATAGGTCCATCCGGAAGCCACGAGAGAGTAACCGATTGTTTGGAAACATCTTGTGGAATCCAATTTTGAATTAAACAACATGAAACAAATAGCATAGGTCAGTATGAGGAGCAAAGAGTGAGGGGGGGGGGGGGGGGGTCTGGGGTCAAAATTCAGAGCAAAAAGGGAGAGGGGGGGGGGGTCTAGGGTCAAAATTGAGAGCAAACAGGGGGTGGGGGGTCTATTGTAAAAATTCAGAACGAACAGGGGGTGAGGGGGTCTAGGGTCAAAATTCAGGAACACGGTTAGGGTTAAAAATTCAGAGCGAAACACGGGGTGAGGGGGGTCTAGGGTTAAAATTCAGAGGAACAGGGGGGTGATCTATTGTAGGGCAGTATTTTTGTTATTAGGCTAAGACCAAGAACACGAGGAGATGGCTGCAAAGTAACGGGAGGGAAGCTGAAAACTAATATTTGGAGGTATTATTGTACAGGAGTAGTTGATGCTTGGAATAGTCTTCCAGCAGAGGTAGCGAGTCGGTCAGCAGTAAGTTAACCATACTTGGGGCAAAAAGATTTAACAAAAACTTTTAAAAAACCTAAATCAATAATAAATGGGACTTGATGGGCCACGTGGTCTTGTAGTGCCGCCACTCTTCTATGCGTCTTCCATGTCTGTAACATGTGATGCATTTGTTTCCTCCCACAGTACAAACTCTCACAGCCCCTCGCCTCCCAGCAGTTCCATCGCATACAGTCTCCTGAGCAATAGCTCCGAACAGGACAACCCTTCCACCAGCGGCTGCAGGTAAGTCCAGTCTCTGTTGGAACTCAGATTTCAGTTTGTGCCCCCACCGGATTCCACGTCTCCTACCTCTACTTTATTAAAGTGTATGTAGAGACAGATTTTTTTTTTTTTTTTTTTTTGGCTGTGGATGGGGCAGGAAAGGGATAAAACTCCCATCAGGTTTTATTTTACTTTCTGTTTCGCACTGGGGGGGGGGGGGGCAGTTTTCCCTTCAATTCCTGTCCTGGAGGCACAGCAATAAATGGGGAAAAATGAACAGATAAGATTTCCCCCTTTTTCCAGTTTGGTTGCCGGTGGGGTGAAGATGCCAAACTGTGCCCCAGTGTGTTCTTGAACCCACTTCCAGCTGCTGTCATTGTGCGTGTCTCATCATCATGGCACAGCTCCCCCCCCCCTCCCATGAAAACACCACTGCAACTGGGGAGGCTGCTTCTCATGACCTCCTGACAACCCCTTCCCATGAAAACACTGAAGCTGGGGAAGCCACTTCTCTCCCCATGCCCCCCCCCCCCTTGAAAATACTGCACCTGGGGAGGCTGTGCCATCACCTCCTGACCCACCCATTAAAACACTGCAGCTGGGGAGGCTGCCTCTCAGGACCTCCTGACAACCCCCCACCCCCCCTTCCCATATAAACACTGCACCTGGGGAAGCCACTTCTCCCCCCCCCCCCCCCGGAAACACTGCACCTGGGGAAGATTCCCCCCCCCCTCCCATGAAAACACTGCACCTGGGGAAGATACTTCTTCCCCTCCCATGAAAACACTGCACCTGGGGAAGCTGCTTCTCCCCTCTTCCCATGCAAACACTGTACCTGGGGAAGCAATCCCCCCCCCCCCAACCATGAAAACGCTGCACCTGGGGAAGCTGCTTCTCCTGTACCCCCTCCCATGAAAACACTGCACCTGGGGAAGCTGCTTCTCCTGTACCCCCCCTACCATGAAAACACTGCACCTGGGGAAGCTGCTTCTCCTGTACCCCCTCTCATGAAAACACTGCACCTGGGGAAGCTGCTTCTCCTGTACCCCCTCCCATGAAAACACTGCACCTGGGGAAGCTGCTTTCTCCTGTACCCCCTCCCATGAAAACACTGCACCTGGGGAAGCTGCTTCTCCTGTACCCCCTCCCATGAAAACACTGCACCTGGGGAAGCTGCTTCTCCTGTACCCCCTCCCATGAAAACACTGCACCTGGGGAAGCTGCTTCTCCTGTACCCCCTCTCATGAAAAAACTGCACCTGGGGAAGCTGCTTCTCCTGTACCCCCTCCCATGAAAACACTGCACCTGGGGAAGCTGCTTCTCCTGTACCCCCTCCCATGAAAACACTGCACCTGGGGAAGCTGTTTCTCCTGTACCCCCTCCCATGAAAACACTGCACCTGGGGAAGCTGCTTCTCCTGTACCCCCTCCCATGAAAACACTGCACCTGGGGAAGCTGCTTCTCCTGTACCCCCTCCCATGAAAACACTGCACCTGGGGAAGCTGCTTCTCCTGTACCCCCTCCCATGAAAACACTGCACCTGGGGAAGCTGCTTCTCCTGTACCCCCTCCCATGAAAACACTGCACCTGGGGAAGCTGCTTCTCCTGTACCCCCTCTCATGAAAACACTGCACCTGGGGAAGCTGCTTCTCCTGTACCCCCTCCCATGAAAACACTGCACATGGGGAAGCTGCTTCTCCTGTACCCCCTCCCATGAAAACACTGCACCTGGGGAAGCTGCTTCTCTTGTACCCCCTCTCATGAAAACACTGCACCTGGGGAAGCTGCTTCTCTTGTACCCCCTCTCATGAAAACCCTGCACCTGGGGAGGCCGATTATCACTGTTTATAAGCAATCATAGTATAAAAAAAAAAATCCTGATCAACTCTCCAGAGTAGTACAGTGTTGCTATAGTAACACTGTACTACCCTGGACACAGTATGCAAAAAAGTAGAAAATAAATGTAATAAAAAAGGAACATTTTTTTTTAATAATTTTTTTTTTAACATACTGTCAGCAGTATTGGTCCCTGATCACCGCCACATCAGTTATATGAAGACGCTGTATTGCCCTGGTGACAGTATGCAGAAAGTCCCCATTTTCATGATTATTTCAAATAGGTAGTAGAACACAGTATATGACTTAGTAGTGACTACATTGTTTGGTATAATGACTAATATTGATATTACTTGGTATTGAGAATATTCGTATAATGACTTTGGCATGAATTGACATAATGTCCATCAGCAGTCGGTTCTAGAAGCCTCGTGCCAGCTGCTGATGGAGACAAAATGACATTCTCTGCAACATCCATTATACCAATATACTTGCTGCCAACTAATATCTACTGGCCCACAAAAGCTTTGCAGGACAGATGTAAACAAATGTGGTGGAAAGTGGCTACTATTTTTGGTGCATGATAACATGAAAACCCCATTGCTTCTGTAAATTACCTGAATTTCAATTAACAAGAGACTTAGAGGACCAACACCTCTCAAAGGAAAGCAGAAACCTCCTGCCCTGCCGCTGACGCTGTTTTCTTGTCTCTTTTTGCTCTTACAGCAGTGAACAGTCTGCCCGGGAGAAGAATCAGAAGGAACTAATGAAGGCCCTGAAGGAGCTGAAAATCCGCCTGCCATCCGAAAAAAGATTAAAAGGCAAATCTGGGACTCTTGCCACGCTGCAGTACGCTCTGTCCTGCGTCAAGCAAGTCCGAGGTGAGCGGAATGATATAAAATAGACTAGATTATATATTACTATATTAAATATAGAATAATATTACATTTATACAACTTAAAATATATTTTTGCAATTTATTTGTATAATTTATTACTAATCATCAATAAAATATATAGTATATATTAATATAGGATATGCTATAATTATATATATATATGTGTGTGTGTGTATATATATATATATATATATATATACGTGTATATGTACAGTATGTGTGTGTGTGTGTGTGTATGTATATATATATATATATATATATATATATGTATGTGTGTGTGTGTATGTATGTATATGTGTGTGTGTATATATATATATATATATATATATATATGTGTATGTGTGATGTGTGTATTATATGTATATATATGTGTGTATGTGTGTGTATGTATATATGTGTATATATATATGTGTGTGTTTGTGTGTGTGTATGTGTATGTATATGTGTATATGTGTATATATATAAATATATGTGTGTGTTTGTGTATGTATGTGTATGTGTATATATATATATATATATGTATATATGTATATATATATATATGTGTGTGTGTTTGTATGTATGTGTGTGTGTATATATATATATATATATGTATATATATATATATATATATATATGTGTGTGTATATGTATGTATGTACGTATGTATATATATGTGTGTGTGTGTGTGTGTATATGTATGTGTATATATATATATATATATATATATATATATACAGAGGTCATTTACTAAAACTGGTGCACACATAATCTGGTGTAGCTATGCATAATAGCCAATCAGCTTCCAGCTTCTCACATCTGTGTGGGTGGTGCCGCTGCGGATCCGCACAAAAATCCGTGAAGACGCAACACCCGCACAGAAGAATACGGACTCACGGGCGGGTACCATTAATTCTAATAGCACGCTGCCCGCACTGGAAATCGCAACCATACTGGGAACGGAAGTTCCCATGCGGGCTGCGTTTTCAGAAGAAGTGCAGGGACTTCTTCACTGCGTGTCCCGGGGCACGGGAGTCCATTCAAATGAATGGGCTCTCATGCCCATGCAAAACGCAGACCGCAGGAATGCAGATATGTGAACCTGGGGCAAGTGAACAAGCTGATTGGTTACCATTCACAGCTGTACCAGATTCGGTGTGCACCAGTTTTAGTAAATCACTCCCTTTAAGACACATTGGAAAACATTATTCCACGTTAAACTGCGCCTGAGCCCAACCTATAAAGATGATTCTTTTTTTTTTTTTTTACATATTAAACAAGCAGTAAAAGAGCTTCATCCCATGATCTCTCCTAGTTGTCACTGGAAGAGATGACCCCATTGGAAGATGCTGCCTCTGGTGAAAACTGTAAAATTTTAGATATTCTATCATTTTCTGTCCTGGTAACTGTGTCACCAGGACAGGAGATTTTGGTATTTTTTTGCATGCTTGGCTCAGGTGTCAGTGATATCCATATTGTTTTCTGTTCTTGCTAACAGTTGACAATGTTTTCTCAGCTAACCAAGAGTACTACCAGCAATGGACCATCGATGAGTCCCAGCCATGCAGTCTGGACATGTCCAGCTTTACTATCGAGGAGGTGGAAAGCGTCACAACAGAGTACACGCTAAAGAATCCTGTGAGTTCCTCTAGCTCTTAAAGGGAAGGGGAAGCATGACCCCAGTGTGCCAGCTAGGAGATTGATTGGGAGGTTTGGGGGTAAATTAGGTAATATCGGCAAAAAACTTTAAAGTGGACCTTTACCTCCTGGATGTGCACTGGGCACATTCAAAGCAGCATTTTTTGCATTTACCTTTTTTTTTTTTAAATGTCCTCCCCGCCATTTTTGCTGCCCCGAAGCCTATTAAGATATGTACATCACATATCCCAGAATGCTCTACTTTCCATTCACAACTTTAAAATGGACCTTTACCTCCTGGATGTGTGCTGGACACCCCACCACCCCTCTTCAATTCACAACAGCATTTTTTGCATTTACTTTTTCTTTTTTTTAATGTCCTCCCTGCCATTTTTTGCCACCCTGAAGCCTCCTAAGATATGTACATCACATATCCCAGAATGCTCCACTTTCCATTCACAGCGGCCAGAGCAGGGTGGACATCGTCAGGGTACCGGGGTGATGTCATCAGGAGCAAAGACAGCAGACCCAGGACCTGATGACATCAAGAGCAAAGACAGCAGACCCAGGACCTGATGACATCCATTCACAGCAGACAGAGCAGGGCGGACGTCGTCAGGGTACCTGGGTGCCTGAACCAGGAAGAAGCACCGAGGACCTGATATCATCAGGTCCTGGGTCTGCGGCCTTTGCTCCTGATGTCATCAGGAGCAAAGACAGCAGACCTAGGACCTGATGACATCAGGAGCAAAGACAGCAGACCTAGGACCTGATGACATCAGGAGCAAAGACAGCAGACCTAGGACCTGATGACATCAGGAGCAAAGACAGCGGACCCAGGACCTGATGACATCAGGAGCAAAGACAGCAGACCTAGGACCTGATGACATCAGGAGCAAACACAGCAGACCTAGGACCTGATGACATCAGGAGCAAAGACAGCAGACCTAGGACCTGATGACATCAGGAGCAAAGACAGCAGACCTAGGACCTGTTGACATCAGGAGCAAAGACAGCAGACCTAGGACCTGTTGACATCAGGAGCAAAGACAGCAGACCTAGGACCTGCTGACATCAGGAGCAATGACAGCAGACCTAGGACCTGATGACATCAGGAGCAAAGACAGCAGACCTAGGACCTGATGACATCAGGAGCAAAGACAGCAGACCTAGGACCTGATGACATCAGGAGCAAAGACAGCGGACCCAGGACCTGATGACATCAGGAGCAAAGACAGCAGACCTAGGACCTGATGACATCAGGAGCAAAGACAGCAGACCTAGGACCTGATGACATCAGGAGCAAAGACAGCAGACCTAGGACCTGATGACATCAGGAGCAAAGACAGCAGACCTAGGACCTGATGACATCAGGATCAAAGACAGCAGACCAAGAACCTGATGACATCAGGATCAAAGACAGCAGACCTAGGACCTGATGACATCAGGATCAAAGACAGCAGACCTAGGACCTGATGACATCAGGAGCAAAGACAGCAGACCTAGGACCTGATGACATCAGGAGCAAAGACAGCAGACCTAGGACCTGATGACATCAGGAGCAAAGACAGCAGACCGAGGACCTGATGACATCAGGAGCAAAGACAGCAGACCCAGGACCTGATTATATCAGGAGTGAAGACAGCAGACCCAGGACCTGATGACATCAGGAGTGGTGTGGGACAGCAGTGCGGCGGATCACATCAGGGCATCGCTGGATCTGGCTGGCAGGTGAGTATGTGAATTGACGACAACCCTACATAACAGCTAAGCAGGAGGAAAGGAAAGAACAGGGGTGCAGTTGGGAGAGGGAGGTTGGTTGAGTGCAGAACTAAACTGCTCCTGGTTTACCTCCCCCCCACAGCTTTTCGATGCTGCCATTTTCTAAAAACCTGCCCATGTGCAGATGCACCGCTGGTCTCTTCCAGGCATTTGAAAGCTGGAAGGGAGCAGCGCATGCACAGCAGGTTTGCATGCATATGCACCAATGCCACTGGCTTCCGGTGGATGGGAAATAGAGCGCCCAGCAGCACTTGTGTGGATGTGCAGAGATTCACCATGCTTACGCGGATATGTTCCTTAGTAGCAGCTGAAGTTGTATGCAGTTCTCCACTTTTCCTGTAAATGTCACGTTTGGGACCACCTCCTAACACCTGAGATTCAACGTGAATTCTTTAATGGGATGGACAGCCTCATTGATCAGCAGTGGGAGCAGGGCAAGCTTGACTTTTACAGATCATGATTTGCATATAACTTCAGCTACTTACTATGGGATTGATTTACTAAAGGCCAATAGACTGTGCACCATACAAGGGCTTTGTAGATGAGATAAAGATTCACTTTGCAAGGAAAACCCAATCAAATGCAAGGAAAATTAAAAAAAAAAAGCACTTTTGCTTACACATGATTGGATGATGGAAGTCAGCAGAGCTTCTGCTCATTTATTAAGCTCTGGAGCAGCTGCTCTTGCAAAGTGCACAGTCTATTTGCCTTTAGTAAATCAACCCCTATATGTCTGGATCTACTGGTGGTTTGGGGGAAGCATTACCTTTACAGGAAAAGTAGGAATTTGCATAGAACGCTGCTTACATTAAGGTCTGGATGTACTGGTTTTGACATGCTGTCTTCATTACCAACCCATTTATTCATCAAATGCTTAGTCTTGATTGTCCAGATTTTTAACCGGTTCCATTTAAATCGTTCCCATCAGGGACATTGTTCAGGTGACTGAATGCATAGCTTACAGTGAACTGCAACCCACAGACCTAGCCCCATCTTCTTCTTAACAGGGCGCTAGCCTTTCTAACGCTTCAAAAAATAAGGAAAAACTTTTCACTTTAATTATTGGTTCTTTTCTGTTTCAATACATTTTTACTGACAGTTTTGAATGTTAGAGTTCTTGGAACTAATTCCCATTACATAAGCTCAAAAAGCAAATAGACAAGTTGAGGGAAATACATCTCCAAGATGGGTTCTCCAGCCTCTTTGGGTATTAGGCATGAGGAACTATGTGCCCCTGTCCACTTTTCTTGGAATTGGTCCTGTTTGTTGACATGAATTCTCTTCTGAGGCCAAGGTAGAATGGTATAAGAAAGTAGACAATCTAGAATGAGTGATGTGGGTTAATTACTTATACTTTTAATGGGATTATTAGTTGGTCTACTGATATATCAGTTTTGGGGATATCTAGGAACACATGGGTGCTGGGTCCTCCAGCCCTTGTTGGGCGGTAGGCATGAGGAGTTGTGTGTCCCTGTCCACATGCCTTGGACTTGGTCCTGTTTGTTGTAGGTGTGAGTTCAATGTTAGAGTTCTAGGAACTAATTCCCATTACATAAGCTCAAAAAGCAAATAGACAAGTTGAGGGAAATACATTTCCAAGATACAGGGGGGGCATCATGCTCTTGGTTCTCCAGCCTCCAGGTATTAGGCATGAGGAACTATGAGCCTCTGAACACTTTTCTTGGAATTGGTCCTGTTTGTTGTAGGCTTCTGAAGCCAAGGTAGAATGGTATAAGAAAGTAGACAATCTTGAATGAATGGTGTGGGTTAATTACTTACACTATTAATGGGATTATTAGTTGGTCTATTGATATATCAGCTTTGGGGATGTCTAGGAACACATGGGTGCTGGGTCCTCCAGCCCTTGTTGGTCGGTAGGCATGAGGAGTTAGGTGTCCTTGTTCACATGCCTTGGATTTGGTCCTGTTTGTTGTAGGTGCGAGTTGTTCTTTTCTGGAGTCAAGGTAGAGGGGTATAAGTAAGTGGACAATCTTTAATGAATGGTGTGGGTTAATTATTTACACTTTTAATGGGATTATTAGTTGGTCTCTTTATATATCAGTTGGAGAGATGTCTAGGAACACATGGGAACTGGGTCCTCCAGCCCTTGTTGGGTGATAGACATGAGGAGCTATGTGTCCCTTTCCACATGCCTTGGACTTGGTCTTGTTTCTTGTAGGCAAGAGTAGTTCTTTTCTGGAACTAATGTAGAGGGTTATAACAAAGCAGGCAATCTTTAATGCATGGTGTGGGTTAATTACTTACACTTTTTGATGGTCTTATTAGTTGGTCTGTATTTGTTGGGGAGATGTCAGGCCATCAGGCCCCGGGTCCTCCAGCCTCATTGGGTGATGGGCACCAGGAACTATGTGTCCATGTCTTGGACTCAGTCCTGTTAGTCGTAGCTGTGACTTTGTTGTTTTCTGGAGCCAAGGTAGAGGGGTATAAGAATGTGGGCAATCTCTATTACATGGTGTGGGTTAATTACTTACACTTTTGTTTTGGTTTATTAGTTGGTCTCTTTATGTATCAGTTGGGGAGATGTGCAGGAACACATGGGCTCCGGCTCCTCCAGCCCTTGTTGAGTGATAGGTATGGAGAGCTATGTGTTCCTGTCCACATGCCTTGGTCTTGGTCTTGTATGTTGAGTTTTTATTTTCTGGACCAAAAGTAGTGGGGTATAGGAACGTGGACAATCTCTATTACATTGTGTGAGTTAATTACTTTCAATGGACTTATTAGTAAGTTTATGCGTATATCATTTGTAGAGATGTCCAGAAACACATGGGCAACTTCCAAGTATGTAGTCTTAATAGCAAGGAAAGAAGAGTGAGAAGAAAGAAGTGTATAACAAGTAGGGTAGACCATTAAGGGAAAAGGGCAGGGAAGGGAGTTGGAGAAGAGGGGGTAGAGAAAATTGAGACCATGGATGAATCTACACCACCCCATGAGAATGTGTGGGCCAGCATTTAAGACAGCTATGTATATAGAGGATCAATGAGGCCCAATCAAATTCTTCCAGGAGGTATTGCCCAACCCATAGGGCCCAGACATATTCAAACCTTTTTAATTATTAGTTATTTTATATACCTGGGAGCAGTTGTTGGAAAGGATTAATTGTCCGTAGTGATGGTTAGATATTTCAAAATAAAGAATGACCCTCTCATAGCATCCACAAGTTAGAAAATTCATCAGAAAAATCATAAGTTGTAGTTATATGCATTCTATGGCTTTACCTATGTAGGGTTGAGTGTGAGCAATGTTGTTCTAAAATCCTGCATCTTTTTCATTTTTTTTCTCAAGGACACATTCTCTGTGGCGGTTTCCTTTATCACCGGCCGCATTGTCTACATTTCTGACCAGGCCTCTCTTATCCTGCATTGTAAAAGGGACGTGTTTAAAGGAGCAACATTTGCCGAGTTTCTGGCCCCGCAAGATGTCAGTGTCTTCTATGGGTCCACAGCACCTTATAACCTCCCATCCTGGAGCAGCTGCATATCTGGAGGTAATGTATAGAAGGGGGCTGTCAGTCTGCCCTAGGGAATGTGTGTCTGTCCTCCTCCTGCGGGGGGGGCTGATACAGACAGAAGGGGGCTATGAGTCTGTCCTCCTCCTGCAGGGTGATACAGACAGAAGGGGGGCTATGAGTCTGTCCTCCTCCTGCAGGGTGATACAGAGAGAAGGGGGTTATGCGTCTGTCCTCCTCCTGCAGGGTGATACAAACAGAAGGAGGCTATGAGTCTGTCCTCCTCCTGCAGGGTGATACAGACAGAAGGGGGCTATGAGTCTGTCCTCCTCCTGCAGGGTAATACAGACAGAAGGGGGCTATGAGTCTGTCCTCCTCCTGCAGGGCGATACAGACAGAAGGGGGCTATGAGTCTGTTCTCCTCCTGCAGTGTGATACAGACAGAAGGGGGCTATGAGTCTGTTCTCCTCCTGCACGGTGATACAGACAGAAGGGGCTATGAGTCTGTCCTCCTCCTGCAGGGTGATACAGACAGTAGGGGGCTATGAGTCTGTCCTCCTCCTGCAGGAGGATACAGACAGAAGAGAGCTATGAGTCTGTCCTCCTCCTGCAGGGTAATACAGACAGTAGGGGGCTATGAGTCTGTCCTCCTCCTGCAGGGTGATACAGACAGAAGGGGGCTATGAGTCTGTCCTCCTCCTGCAGGGTGATACAGACAGAAGGGGGCTATGAGTCTGTCCTCCTCCTGCAGGGTGATACAGGCAGAAGGGAGCTATGAGTCTGTCCTCCTCCTGCAGGGTGATACAGACAGAAGGGGCTATGAGTCTGTCCTCCTCCTGCAGGAGGATACAGACAGAAGAGAGCTATGAGTCTGTCCTCCTCCTGCAGGGTAATACAGACAGAAGGGGGCTATGAGTCCGTCCTTCTCCTGCATTTTGAATCCTTCTGACTCCCCATATATCTCTCTGTCTTTCTCCAGATACGGCTTCAATGGACTACACTCCGGAAAAGTCTGTTTTCTGTAGGATCAGGTGGGTATCGTAAAATTGGGGAGAAGTAGAGATAACACTGACAAATTTTATTGCAGTTATCTTAACCAAGAGGAGAGATGTGAGAGAGAGAAAAAAATCGATCACACATATAATATGCAAAACAGATAAGTGTATACAAACAGAACATTCTATATATACAAATCTATATACATCGAATACACAGCTCTATTACATCCTACATATAGGGAATTGGGACACTGATCTATCACACTGGTGTACTGTGCATAGAAGAGAGAGGATACACTGACCCATCACATTGTATATACACAGAGAGGACACACTGACCTATTACAGTATGTACAGAGACAGAATACATTGACCCATCACATTGCATATACAGAGAGGAGACAGCAGAGATGACACCCTGATCTGTCACACTGCATATACACAGAGAGGACACACTGATATATCACGTTGCATATTCACTGAGGACACTCTGATCTGTCACACTGTATATACACAGAAAGGACACGCTGATCTGTCACACTTTATATACACAGAAAGGACACGCTGATCTGTCACACTTTATATACACAGAAAGGACACGCTGATCTGTCACACTTTATATACACAGAGAGGACACAGTACAAGGTGGGTGGGGGGGCGCGGACTGTTCAGTCACACTGTACGCGGCGGGTGGGGGCGCGGACTGGTCGGTCACACTGTATGCGGCGGGTGGGGGCGCGGACTGTTTGATCACACTGTATGCGGCGGGTGGGGGCGCGGACTGTTTGATCACACTGTACGTGGCGGGTGGGGGCGCGGACTGCTTGGTCACACTGTACGCGGCGGGTGGGGGCGCGGACTGTTCGGTCACACTGTATGCGGCGGGTGGGGGCGCGGACTGTTCGGTCACACTGTACGCGGCGGGTGGGGGTGCGGACTGTTCGGTCACAGTATACGCGGCGGGTGGGGGGTGCGGACTGTTCGGTCACACTGTACGCGGTGGGTGGGAGTATGGACTGCTCTGTCACACTGTACGCGGTGGGGGGGGGGGTACGGACTGCTCTGTCACACTGTATATACACAGAAGTGACATGTTCACCTGTTACGTTGTCTATAACACTCAGGGATGATCCCTCCACGGATCCCACATTCACTGAGGATGTAATGATCCTTTATGAAGGAAGCGGATTGATTGATTTTCAAACCTTTCCATAGAGAGGTAATGTAGACATGGCTCCTCAATGCCCTCGTATACAAGATAAATACACGGAGATTGGGACATCTTCTACCCCCCACCTCCGGAAGTCTCCTTCTCCTGCCCCCCTCATTCTCACACACCTGTGACACAAAGGACCCTGTAATTAACATACTGACACGTCCTGCGTCACTCACCCACACAACACCCGCTCCCCGCACCATCCCTGCATCTGTAACCTTTCTCCAGCAAGCCCTGCAGCATGGCAAGCAATGAATTACATATGTTGGCTGGATATTTATAGCCACATTCTGCATAGAAGAATTCACAGCTACATGCATCCATTTTAATGAAACCGCCGCGGTATTCTATAAAAGCAGAGGATGTGAGAAGTGGAGGCTTTTGTCTATTCCAAATAATGAGAGGAGCGCTTTGCTTTCACTGTTTACGACCCGTAGAGGAGTTACTTCTGAAAACTGAAGGTGTTTACATCTTCATCTCATTCCATGAACAGAACAGAGATGTGCTTCTTATCAGAAAGTAGCGAGAAGTTGCGTCATTTTTACATCATTTAGATCTACTAAACAGAGCCAAAAATACAAAGCCGTTTATTCAGTCTGAATATATCGGGTCTACTTAGCATTCATCAATGCAAGGCTTGGAAGTGAGGGGTTCTGTGGAGTCATTCAGGTTATGGCGATGGGGGTCAGAAGGCAACAGAGTGCAGCTCAAGGTTTATAAAGTACAATCCAACTTTCCTTAAAGTAGAATATGTGCGAATGTCACACTTTGTTCAGATATGTCAATAACAAGGCCTTCATTTATCCTTTTACCAGTACAGTGCCAGTACATTTATCATTTTATCAGTACACTACTGGTACATTGACCCTTTTACCAGTGCAGTACCGGTATATTTATCCTTGTACCAGTACATTTATCATTTTACCAGTATAGTATCAGTACATTTATCCCTTTACCAGTACAATACCAATACACTTCTTTTAACCAGTACAGTACCAGTACATTTATCCTTTTACCAGTACGCTTATCCTTTTACCAGTACAGTGCTGGTAAATGTATTCTTTTACCAGTATAGTACCAGTATATTTATCCTTTTACCAGTACAGTGGCAGTACATTTATTCTTTTACCAGTACGCTTATCCTTTACCAGTACAGTACCGGTACATTTATCCTTTTATCAGTTTATCTTTTACCAGTACAGTGCTGGTAAATGTATTCTTTTACCAGTATAGTACCAGTACATTTATCCTTTTACCAGTACAGTGGCAGTACATTTTTTTACCAGTCCATTTATCCTTTTACCAGTACACTTATCTTTTTACCAGTACAGTGCTGGTAAATGTATTCTTTTACCAGTACCAGTATATAGTACAGTACCGGTACATTTATCCTTTTACCAGTACAGTTACATTTATCCTTTTACGCTTATCCTTTTACCAGTACGCTTATCTTTTTACCAGTACAGTACCGGTACATTTTATCATTTTACCAGTACAGTGGCAGTACATTTATCCTTTTACCAGTACAGTACCAGTACATTTATTTATTCTTTTACCAGTACGCTTACCTTTTACCAGTACAGTACCGGTACATTTATCCTTTTATCAGTCCACTTATCTTTTTACCAGTACAGTGCTGGTAAATGTATTCTTTTACCAGTATAGTACCAGTATATTTATCCTTTTACCAGTACATTTATCCTTTTACCAGTACAGCACCAGTACACTTATCCTTTTACCAGTACAGTACCGGTACGTTTATCCTTTTACCAGTACAGTGGCAGTACATTTAGCCTTTTACCAGTACACTTATCTTTTTACCAGTACAGTGCTGGTAAATGTATTCTTTTGCCAGTATAGTACCAGTATATTTATCCTTTTACCAGTACAGTACCGGTACATTTATCCTTTTACCAGTACAGTACCAGTACGTTTATCCTTTTACCAGTACAGTGCCAGTACGCTTATCCTTTTACCAGTACAGTACCGGTACATTTATCATTTTACCAGTACAGTACCAGTCCATTTATCCTTTTACCAGTCCATTTATCCTTTTACCAGTCCACTTATCTTTTTACCAGTACAGTGCTGGTAAATGTATTATTTTTACCAGTACAGTACCAGTACATTTAGCCTTTTACCAGTACAGTACCAGTACATTTAGCCTTTTACCAGTACAGTACCAGTACATTTATCCTTTTACCAGTACAGTACCAGCATATTTATCCTTTTTCCAGTATAGTACCAGTACACATTTTTACTGGTGCATATATCTATTGCCACCTATACACCTCCTATGCCTAATGCACCTAAACGAGTTGGCAAAAATGCGGCTTTAGCTGACATCATATGCAGATCGGAGCTCATTCCTTTGATCTACAAATGAATGAAACAGAATGAAATAGAAGAAACACAAAAAGGAGCATTGTTACTTTGTATATCTCTGTCTGTGTCTGAGCAATATGTCATTTTTTTGCCTGCAGCAGCTTTAATGAAAGCTGCATTTACAGTATATTGTGACAGCAGGGAAGCTGTATGGGAGAGTGACAGTGAAGTTTTTTGGTGGTGTTGTACCTCCTGTGTCCACAACTGGATAAATCAGAACTACACTACACCTGAGCGCCACAAACCAAAAACAATATTGAATTTACTTTTAATATTCAAGGCAAACTCCCCCATTCATTCATGTCTCCATGCTTTTTATTGCTGAGAAATAACCCCCCAAGCCGTGGCCATCTTGAGTAGGGGCAGATAATTCATGTAGCATTTACTTGCTTGAATCCATCTGACGTTAGCTCAGGCATGCAGGCAGGAGAGTGTGCTTAGCTAAGAAAACCCCTCCTGAGGAGACATGGGATGTGTGATGTCATTTGCCTAGGTATGGAAACCAGGAAGTAACTGAAGAAATGTAAAAAAAAAGTTTAAAACAAGTGAATATAATTTACATTCCTATCTATTTACTAATGCTAGCAGTATAAGGATTAAAAATATCCAATGCTGATTGAGGGAGCGAAGTTCAGCTTTAAGGATGCTGCCTGCGCTGATCAGCGGCAGCGGCATCACACTCAGCAATTGCAGCTGGGAATTCAGAGCCATATATCCAGTTTAACTGTTTCCAGGTTGCCAGCCCTCATCAGTGCAAGATACTGAAGTCACCACTGCTCTATAGAAAAAACACAGGACAGCCAATAGGATCAAAGTGAAAATGAAAGTTTATATTTTGAAACTGTCACTAAGAGACAGACCTCCATTTTTTTTCATCCTCTGTATTTATAGAATATCCTCCACATTATCATAATTGTTGGTCGAACTGGAAGGGCTATGTAAGGCTGGTCATACATGGGTCGAAATTCTTCCAAAAATCGGACCTAAGAATAATCGGCTGATTTTCGCTCTGTTAGTGGGTCAGTGGCACCGGCCGATTTTCATGGTTCCTCCCTTTTTCGGTGATCGGGCATGTTGGAAAATGTGTGAAAAACGACCGATCTTCGACTCAATGATGGTACGATTGGTTTTTCGAAAAGAATATGCGCATGAGCCGTGACCTGGAAGGAACAGAAGTTTCGCCTGTTATATGGGGGGAACTTTATGACTTGGTCGGCCGATTTTCAACATCATTGATGGCACCATCGGATTACTGAGCAAACGACGTTTCCGATTTTCGGACGAAAAATCGTTTGCAATTCGAACCATGTAACAATAATCATATAATGTCCTAATGAGGACAGAACTGCAGAATGCAGCACTTCTAATCAATCCAAAAAGATATTCGTAACTACACATGATGAAAGCTTCTGACTGGCTTGTGTATGAAAATGAATGTCAATACAAGCGCTATTGGAAGGCTGATGTCAGAACCCAGATGAAGTGACCACTTACCTCAACTACTGCCGCTGGGCCGCAAACGTTGCAGAACAGCGATGCAGCAGCATGTTGCTGCTCCGGCCAGTGATGGAGCGACTCTATAGGAAAAGAAAAGTGGTCTTTTAGTAATCCTGAAATCACTGACAAATTGTCACCGGTGACAGGATCCCTTGTCTGACACCATACTGAACGTTTTAATCCAGCATAATGATTGGATTGTGTAAGCAAAACGTGGCTCCATGCCCCCATCCCACTGGTTTAAAGTCCCAAAATGAGCACTTCTAAAACCAGTTGTCCTCCGTCTCTGTACCTCTGAAAATTCCTGGGACCCAATGGAGGCAAAGAAACTTGCAATACCCATGGAGCCTTACCATGACTTTGCAGCCTAGTCAGTTCTGTGCATCATTAGCAGGGGATTCCAGAAAAACTGAAAACATCCTTTCCATTTAGAACTGATAACAATGACTTTCCCCTCTCGCAGCTCCTACGTTTTCTTAAGACGGAATTCTGAATTCATACATTCACCCTGATGAAGTCTGGCTTTGTAGTACAACCTCAAGTCTCACTTCCATTTCTTTTAATGTGTTCCTTTCCCCAGGGGACATAGTAGTGCTTTGTCCAGTCTTCCTGTGTGCTGTCTGATGCTAACTGCAAGATGGGACAAGGCAACCCCTCCTCCCTCCACAGACGACCGACAACGCAGCTAGCAAGGAGACCACTGCTTTGAAAATGGACACACTTCCATCTCCAAACATTAGCTTGTTTGCCTGGAATATTTTAGCTGATAAGCCCTCCCCTCTGCATTTTGTGTGGAATGCTTATCTTGGGCAAGTGCCTCCAGATGAAGAAAAGTGCTATCTGTCAAATCAGCTATTTGTCTCCTTGCTAGCTGCGTTGTCGGATGGTCATGGAGGGAAGAGGGGTGCCCTGTCTGACCCCACAGCTAGACTTAGACAACACATAGCGAAATGGGACAAACTATTACAAGTACATTGTCCCCAAGGGAACAGAATACGGCCAGAAGAAAGTCTCTCCGTTGTTTGCTTTGAAGCAGTGGGGAAGGCGAAGCTTGTCCTTGTTGCTACAAAGAAGGGTCCCTGTAGGCTCTTACAATGTGCAGCGACCATGCTGCGCAAGCTTGTTATTGAAAAATATATACTGATGCGTAACGCTGTTCAGTTTGTGTAAAGGCCAGTTTCACACAGTCTTCGGCTTGTACATGAGCAGTGGGAACAGCAAGCTTTGTTGAAGCTTATAAAGTACCCTTTGTGATGGGAGTCACTTTGGGTGGGGGGGGCCCATGGAACCCAGCTCCCTTTGGAGAGGTGGGGAGACCACTTTCTCAGCTCCCTATATCCCTCTTATGCGTAAGTCACCCTGTGCCTGTTAGGGGTACAGGGTGATCTGTCCTCATATTGTGTAGACATGTCTAGTAGATAGGTGCGTTGGCGGTTGTGGATTGTTTGGCGTTATGTGGTTGCATATCATTGTCCCATTGTTCTATTGTGTGTCTTGCTTGGGAGCAAACTATTATGGGATGTATGTGTTTATGTGTATTGGCTTAGTGGGGGGGGGGGGGTGTCTCCAGCAGCCCTCCCTCATGATGTGACTGTCTGTTGGTGTGTCTCTTGTTCCTAAATGTAGATTGCCCAGCCCTGTGTGATTATGCTGGGAGAGGGGATTGCCCCTTGAGTGTATAAAAAGTCAGTTCGGGTTTCAAATAAAGAGTTCAATGTTCAGACAGATTGGTGTTGTCTAGTCTTGTATGGTCTGCTGTGGTGTCTGTGGTCGGTGTTCGGACGGGGGAAGCGGTATTCTAACGGAAGTACTCAAGCGCAGTCTGGGGTCGGTTCCATTACGCCCTTTATCTCTAGTTTATAAATGTTGAAAACAGGTGCTCATGGAAGGTCTGATTGCCACTTTAAACAAGCTGCTAGCAGGCTTCAGAAAAGCTTGTTGAAAGCCTGCTAGCAGCTTGCTTAAAGTGGCAGTCAACACTCCTGTTGAGATCTGTGTTCAACATTTACAAACTATACCTGGAATGGTACTTTAAAAGCTTCAACAAAGCTTGCTGAAAGCTCTGCAAATGCTTTGTCAAAGCTTGCTGTTCACACTGCTTATACAAGCTGAAGTCTGTATGAAACAGGCCTAAAAGAATAGCCCTGGTGACTTTTTTTTTATGCCCCCAGATCGTTTTCTCATTGGCATTGCTTTTATTATTGCCCAGCCTGAATGGAGCAAACTATTCTATCAACTGATAGTAAATTGAATAAATGTGTTTCCAAAGGGTGGGATTAGAGTATGACTAATCTGCGGTACTTGCTTCTGTAACTGCGTGTCTTGGAGTGAGATGGTTTTGGGCAACAGGACTGCAGACGTCAGGGATTCGTACATAAGACGCTCAGGCTGCAATTTTTGTGTCGTGTGGATAAAACTAGCAAGGGTTGCATATTGGCAGTCATGTGATTTGGACTTTCTGTTCCAGTGAATCAGCACCTAGATGAAAAATGATTGTTTTCCTTTAGAATATGCTGAATCGGCGTCCAGGAGCTGGTCATCAGCGGCAAGATCTAGAATGACATACTTTTGGCATGTATGGCAGACTTACAATGTCACGTTTGTTGCATATGTAGAGAAGGGAGGAGATTTGAGCTTTAGCTACTTTAGGAAGTTTCCCAGATTGCCGTGAAGCCCTTTATTACATGCTGTTCTTGTGCTGTTTTTTTTACCCTGCACTATGTCTACAATCTGCAGTAGAAGTTGTGTGCAATTAGGCAAACTGAAAAAAATGTGAATGTTGGCTATATTGGTTAAACGTTTGTGGACATGTGGACTTTGTGAAGCTTTCTGGACATCCCATTCTAAAACCATAGGCATTGATATGGAATTGCCTCCTTCCCTTTGTGGCTCTTATAGCCTTCACTCTTTTAGGAAGGTTTTGAAGTGTGTCTCTAGGAATTTAAGGCCTTTCTGCCAAAAAGAGCATTTGGACTTTTGTTAAGCTTTTTGGACATCCCATTCCAAAACCGTGGCCGTTGATATGGAGTGGCCCCCTTCCCTTTGTGTCTTTTATAGCATTTACTCTTTTAGCAAGGATGATTTTGAAGTGTGTCTCTAGGACTTTGTGGCCTTTCAGCCAAAAAGAGCATATGGACTTTTGTGAAGCTTTCTGGACATCCCATTCCAAAACAGTGGACGTTGATATGGAGTGGCCCCCTTCCCTTTTAGGCTCTTGTAGCCTTCATTCTTTTAGCAAGGATGATTTTGAACTGTATCTCTAGGACTTTGCGGCGTTTCAGTCAAAAAGATCATATGGACTTTTGTGAAGCTTTCTGGACATCCCATTCCAAAACCGTGGACGTTGATATGGAGTGGCACCCTTCCCTTTGTGGCTCTTCTAGCCTTCACTCTTTTAGGAAGAATGGTATTGAAATGTGTCTCTAGGAATTTACGGCCTTTCAGCCAAAAAGAGCATATGGACTTTTGTGAAGCTTTCTGGACATCCCATTCCAAAACCGTGGACGTTGATATGGAGGGGCCCCCTTCCCTTTATAGTTCTTATAGCCTTCACTCTTTTAGGAAGGATGGGTTTGAAGTGTGTCTCTGGAAATTTGTGCCTTTTCAGCCAAAAGAGCATACGTGAGATCAGATACTGATGTTGGGTAAGAAGACCTGGCTAACGGTTGTGTTCCAGTTAATTCAAAACGTTTACAGTAGGGTTGAGGTCAGGGTTCTTTGTAGACCACTCATGTTCCTCCACACCAAACTCCTCAAACCATGTCCTTATAGAGCTGGCTTTGTACACAGAGCACAGTCATGTTGGAGCAGATAAGGACCAAACGATGCTGCAGCATTAACCGTATCCTTCATGGAATCACCAGCATTTGGAGGGGTGTCTTCAGAATTGTAGACATATAGCAGCTGTGATGGTGAGGTCAACAAACATTTTGTCATATAGTGTAAATATCAATGTAACAGAACGTGTGAAGAAGATATTGACTTAGCAAAAGGAACCATTTTTAAATAATTTTCAACCAGAAGCCTTTGAAGTAGTCTCTATCTTCTACATTTGAGGTTCCCCAACTAGCCTTCAATCTTTGCCAGATGTGCATAATTTGTGCCTCTCCTCACAAAGGGTCCAGGCCAATTTGGCTACTTAATTTGACCAGGAATGAACCCAGCTGTGATGTAGGGGAATATTGACAATACATTTATTGTTGGTGTGGCTCAGGTTGTGACTGCGTTCTGTGTGAGTCAGGTCAATAGGTATACGGTAAATGTATCCATACATGAGGTAAAATGATCATTCCAAAAGACAACTGCTTGACTTTTGAGTGATATACCCATACCCCAGAGGGCAAAAGTTGGCCATTTTGTTTGTCAGCACCCTATAGAAATCGAGCGATATTAGCAATCTCTTCCACTGGTTTTATCTTAATTTCCTGAAACTGTCAGGATTTTTTGCACTGACTGATTCTTTGTGCCCATGTATGGGTATAGAGTTTTCCAACGAAGATCTAAATTCTCTGCTGACTGGGTGGCCTTGGGCGCATTCATCTCACCACATATATAATATATAATATCTCTGACATGGCAATTTTCTTCTGTCTCTCTCAGAATCTCTGTCATCCCTCCCTATTATCATAGTAAACGTTTGTCCTCTCCATTTCATCCATTTTCTCCTTGGTAAAAAATATGCCAAATCTCCACACCCAGCAACCTCCTACCCCACCAGCATCTGTCCTTCCCCTAAATGTACCATTTGTTTGCACCCTTTGTTGCTGTGGTCTCCCTGGCTCTGGTCTTATTGCAGGTGTGTGTTTTCAGTGGGGGCCGAGAGCGGGATATGAACATCCGCTATCACCCTTTCCGCCTCACCCCGTACCTGATGAAGGTGCGAGATTCGGACAACACTGAGGGGCAGCCCTGCTGTCTGCTAATCGCTGAGAAGATCCACTCTGGATATGAGGGTAAGAGAACAGACCTTAAGTCATCAAGCACCTAAATTAGGTAGCAGAAAGGAAGGCAAGGTAAGGTGCTCAGTAGGTGATGGGATGGAGGCTCCCAAATTTAAGGGTTTAGCTGTTTAACTACAGTTGTAATTTAAGCAAAGCTCCTTTGCTTGAGGCTCTTTGGTTGAAGTGTCACTGAGATGTCCTACTTTACCTTCAAGTGCTCCCTTGGACATGAGCGTAAACCTGACATGAGATCTAAGCATGTGCTATAGAGGTCTGTGGAAGAGGAACTTAGAGCAGAATTTGGGATTCCAAGGATTGTTTTTTTTTTTTCAATGAGAAAATATAGTTGGTATGGCTTCGGGGGGGGGGACTGACAACTCATGGGGCCCCTGGGCAATAAGGGATCATGGGGCCCCTGTGTCCTTGCCCAAACTCAAAAAAGCCTATGAAAAAGGTACCAGGGGCATCTCATGGGCCCCTACTGACCTCGGGCCCTCAAGCAGTGCCCGAGTTTCCAAATGGTCAGTCCGCCCCTGTATGTCTTGAGTAGTGTAGCTAAGAAGAGTCTAGCTGGAGTGTCGGGAGATTCTGGTAAGATCTATTTTCCTGATATTTCATAGAAGTATCCATTTAATATATATTAAACACTCTGGTGGAGTAACCATTAACCAAGGAATAATTCAATTCAGAATTCTTCTTTTAAGAAGCCTGAGGTGGTGTCCCACCAAGAAAAGCAAGTGATGAGACATTTGCCTATCCTGGATTCCACCAAAATCCACCTCAATGTTCTTTAGAACTAAGGCAGTGGGTCCACTTGGCAGGCACATTGTTTTTCCCTTCCTTCCCTGTTATACATAGAGTAGTAAACAGTTACTGCTTCACATAGAGATTTCCCTGCAAGTTGGAGGATCTCTTGTCAGCAATAATGAGCTCTTCTGGTGGTCACATGTCTGCGGTATTGCTCTCTGCATTCGCCCTACACATTTGCCCTACGTAGCTTGATTGTTGCAGATGGTGGAAAAATAAATATTATATTAGAATATTACATAACCTGATATCCTGAGTTTACTGTATATCCTTCCTGATTGGAGCTCTCCATTAGGTCCCATTGAGACACCATATGCATTGGGCTACGTTGGGCAACATTTCCCAACACAGTCCCAATGCGATGAAAAGGCTATCTGCCTTAAATCCTATAGGTTCAGTTCACACCACTCCAGGATATTTGCATTGCAGTGTGCTGTGATGCCGTACTTCATTTACAATGTGATGAATTCAGGGGAGGATTGGGTAGCAGGCAGCATCTAGAAAGGAAGGTAGAGATGGGGCCTATTGTCCTCTTGATGGGTCTTTCTCTTTCCTCAGCACCACGAATACCGGCAGATAAGCGAATTTTCACCACCAGGCATACGCCCAGCTGTGTGTTCCAGGAGGTAGATGAGAGGTAAGCTTCATCTCTCTTTGTGTACCACAAAAAAGTGCAGCGCATAAAATAAACCAATAAATATCTGAGATGATGTAAAACATATTGTTCCTCAATCAAAATATAGTCATAATCATCAATCAAGAAAACAGTAAAACAGCTCATGTGAGCACATATAGGAGTCCCAATATATAAACTCTATGGCGTGAAGGTGCTATTCAAAGTGAAAATCTAGCAGGCTGTGCACATATATTCTGGAAATCAGGAATCAACCGTAAAGTGGAAGGTGATAATCATCCGGTGGTGTGCGATAGATTAGTGGGATTGCAAACTCACCAGAAGCGCAATCGTAATGCGCATTAGTTAATATTAGCCAGCCTGGAGGTCTCCCTTCAATGGAACCTGGTCTGGTCTAGGATACCCCCTCTGATGGTATGGGTGCTTAGGGCGATGTCAATCAGAGGTCCCTCTCATGGATGGTATGGTGAGTCGGATGTAACCTGGGTCCTGAGGGTTTCAGTGCTCATAGTAGAGCAAATATCATCCAAGTAAACGAAGTTGAATAGCTCTGTAAACAATCAAATAAAGTAGCCTGTGCTGCCAATGTTACTGACCAGTCAGCTAGTTATGGTGGCCGACAGACCTCCGTGATCCGGCGGCGTGACGTCACTGGGTAGTGGGGCTCCTCCTCCACATCTCTTTGTCTGTGTGTCTATCTGTTCATTGTCCTGGAACTCTGTCTGATGGTCCTCCATTTTCTTCCAGAGCTGTCCCTCTCCTCGGCTACCTCCCACAAGACCTTATCGGCATGCCTGTTTTGTTTTTCATTCATCCCGAGGACCGACCGCTCATGCTTGCCATACACACTAAAGGTAATTTTGTTTGGGGGGAAAAAAGTGCTTTAATTATTTTTTTTTAGCAAAATGTGAACTTATCTTTTAACACCCAAGAGCTTGATGCCTGTAAAAGCTCCTAAAAGCTTTAGACACTTTTACAGGCATCAGGCATTTTTTTCTGCAAAAATGCAGCTGGCTCCTAAGTTAAATAAACGTCCTGTGTGTATGAGGCTGTGACGGGATATGGGCCATAGAATTCATGGACATCTTTGCCCTTCAGTCTTACAGCAGGCTGGCCAGCCTTTCGATCACTCTCCCATCCGCCTGTGTGCACGTTCTGGGGAGTATGTCACCATCGACACAAGCTGGAGCAGTTTCGTCAATCCGTGGAGTCGCAAAGTTTCATTCATTCTTGGAAGGCACAAAGTTCGCACGTAAGTTCTGCTGTGGGGCGACTACCATTGGCCTGACATTTTTTTTTCTAGGGTGCTTCAGTTTCATTAAGGCCCACTGTTAAACGGTAATGGGTTGAATTTAGTGTGATCCACTACATGTGAGATCACTACATGTGAGATTTAGTGTGGTCCACTACATGTGAGATTTAGTGTGGTCCACTACATGTGAGATTTAGTGTGGTCCACTACATGTGAGATCACTACATGTGAGATTTAGTGTGGTCCACTACATGTGAGATCACTACATGTGAGATTTAGTGTGGTCCACTACATGTGAGATCACTACATGTGAGATTTAGTGTGGTCCACTACATGTGAGATTTAGTGTGGTCCACTACATGTGAGATTTAGTGTGGTCCACTACATGTGAGATCCACTACATGTGAGATTTAGTGTGGTCCACTACATGTGAGATCCACTACATGCGAGATTTAGTGTGGTCCACTACATGTGAGATCCACTACATGCGGGATTTAGTGTGATCCACTACCTGTGAGATCACTACATGCGAGATTTAGTGTGGTCCACTACATGAGAGATTCCCATTATTCCTGGCACATCAGCTGTAAGTTAGGCAGCAGAAGTGACCTTTGTTGGGTACAGAATTAAGGAAGGGGAAGACTCTGCACTGTGTCTTACAAACCCATGTCCGCTGTCTGTTCTGTGTGTGTCTCTGACAGTCTCCTGTCTCAGGCAGTACAGGCAGCAGGGAAGGTATTGCAGTCAGATTTCCGATACACCTGGAAAATGGTATTGTGGTTCCAAGGATAGAGAGCAGCATGACTAGAAAACGGTTACATTTTACACAGCCGTGTAGCATAAGGGGGCTATAACACCGGAACGGCTTTTTGGGAGAAAAAAAGGAGAGCCAGTAACTTTTAGTCGCTTGAAGGAAACATTTTTATTTTTTCACCTGTTTTGAAGTTGTCCATGTCTCTGCCTGGTCCCTCTAACCCTTTGGGTTCTGTGTCTGTCTCCATCTTACCCAGTTCTTGTTGTCTCTCTATAGAAGTCCTCTCAACGAAGACATCTTTACTGCTCCCAAAGGGGCAGAAATGAAGCCTATAGACCCGGACATTCAGGAACTGTCGGAGAAGATACACAGGATATTGATGCAGGTACAGACCATTCCTTCTCTGATTTCTTTCCTTCCATATTTTCTCCTACTTTTATTTCATCTTTCCTTCCTTTCCTTTCCCACTCCCTCTCATCTCCTTTCGTCTTATTTCTTTCTTCTCCTCTCCTTTCCACTTTTCTCTCCTTTCTTTTCCTTTCTTCCTCTTTCCTCTCCTCCTTTCCCCTCTCCTCTCCTCCTTCCTTTCCTCTCCCTTCACCTCATTTCACCTCTAGCTCTTCTCCCTCCGCTCTTCTCCCTCCACTCTTCTCCCTCCGCTCTCCTCGCCTATCTCTTCGCTCACCTCTCTCTCTTCTCTCCTTGCCTATCTCTTTGCTCTCTCTCCTCTCCCCCTCTTTTCTCTCCTCTCCTCTCCCCCTCTTTTCTCTCCTCTCCTCTCCCCTCTTTTCTCTCCTCTCCTCTCCCCTCTTTTCTCCCTCTCTCTCCCCTCTTTCACCTCTCTCTCTCTCCTCTCCCTCCCCCTTTTCTCTCCTCTCCCCTCTTTTCTCTCCTCTACCCTCTTTTCTCTCCTCTACCCTCTTTTCTCTCCTCTCCTCTACCCTTTTTTCTCCTCTCCCCCTTTTCTTTTCTCTCCTCTCCTCTCCTTTTCTCTCCTCCCCTCTCCCCTCCCCTCTCCCCTCTTTTCTTTCCTCTCCTCTCCCCTCTTTTCTTTCCTCTCCTCTCCCCTCTTTTCTTTCCTCTCCTCTCCCCTCTTTCTTTTCTCTCTCTCCTCTCCCCTCTTTTCCCTCTCCTCTCTCTCTCCCCTCTTTTTCTCTCCTCCTCTCCCCTCTTTTCTCTCTCTCTCCTTTCCTCTCCCCTCTTCTCTCCCTCTCCTCTCCTCTCCCCTCTTTTCTCTCCTCTCCTCTCACCTCTTTACTCTCCTCTCCTCTCCCTGTCCCCTCTTTACTGTCCCCTCCCCTCTCCCCTCTTTTCTCTCCTCTCCTCCCCCTCTTTTCTCTCCTCTCCTCTCCTCTCTCCCCTCTTTTCTCTCCTCTCCTCTCACCTCTTTACTCTCCTCTCCCCCCTCTCTTTACTGTCCTACCCCTCTCCCCTCTTTTCTCTCCTCTCCTCTCCCCTCTTTTCTCCCTTTGATTTTTTTACCTTCCTTTCCTACTGGCTTTTATTTTTTTCTATATTTTCCTTTTCCATTCCTCCCTTTCTTGTAGTCATTTGTGCTCTTTGTGTCATTTAATTAATTATTTTGATTGGCTTTTGAAACAGCTGCCATTTGTCTATAGGCATCAACCTCATTGGTGCAGCTGCCTGAACTTCTTTCTAATTGGCTGCCACAGGTAGTCCGTTGTAAGTGTAGTAGGAAAGCTGAGAATTTCGTTAAACTGCTCCATGAAAACTCTTATTGAGCAATTTACCTCAATTACTAAGTCTGGAGCAACTGCACTTGCAGTTCGCAGACTATTTGCCTTTAGTAATTCCACCCCAGTGTCTAGCAGCTGTTGCACGATATCGACTCGGCTGAAAACCTCAAAAATACTGTATATGTTTTTTTTTTATCCACCTGAATTATCTCTGCTGATTTAGGGAAGTTAGGACTTCACATTCTCATTATATTCCAGTTGTAACGTGACAATTGTACACATTGTATTTTACAGCCTGTACATAGCACGTCCTCCGGAGGCGGGAATGGAAGCGGCGGCAGCAACACATCCCAAGAACCGTATCACTGCAATGCTTCGTCCAGTGACAGCAATGCCATGGTCATCGAGGAGCGGACAGAGCCCAAACCTGTACGGGTGACAATGAATCTGTTAACACTGAGCTGCTCAGATCTTGATGAATAATAATACAGTGTAAAATTAATAATTATAATGAATTAGTAATGTATAATGATGTGTAATTTATCAATATAATTGTAATTTATCATTAACCTCTTCACGCCGCCGAACGCAAATGTGCAGCCTCCCGGCATCTGGACCTAGACGCCGAGCGGCCACACATTTGCGTTCTATTAAAAAAAGACATATCTGCTGAGAGCGCGTGCACTGCACGCTCCCTGCACACATGTCCGGTACTCACAGAAAGGTCCCGATCTCCTCTTTCAATTGGGACCTTTCCTGATCATGTGATGGCGTGTCACGGCGGTCACATGACCCTAAACCCTGCCCCACCTCCTGGCTTCTGAAACCCTTAAAGGACCGGGAGGCGCGGGCGCGAAGGGGTTAATGTATAATATTAATGTAATAACGTGTAATATTAATTAACCACTTCCTGTCTGCCCATGTACATAAACGGCCGGGCGGGAGCAATGCAGGAGCGGGTGGCCTGTTATAAACGTCCTCCCACATTCCCTGCCTGTGCGCGCTCCTTGGGAGCGCATGGCACTGCGATCTCCGGACACAGCGAAACACCAATCGCTGTACGAGACCTCTGTGTGATTCATATGATCCGTAATTGGCCAATCATGAATAGTAGTAAGCAAGATGTCACTTGCTGACATCATTCCTTACTACGTGTGAAATCTGTGAATGAGGGGATCATTGCCGAAGCGTGCTCCCTGGGAGCGAGCAGCACCGCGATCGGTGCCAGCTGTGCCCTCCGGACACAGATCGCTGTACAGGACCTCTGTGTGAGGTCCCAATTCATGTGATCACTGATTGGTCAATCAGTGATCACATGAAGAGTAGTAAGAAAGATGTCACTTCCTGACATCATTGCTTACCACGTGTAAAATCTGTGAATGATCACAGAGATTACATGGTACAGGGCTATTGACAACAGTTTTGTACCATGTGACAAGCTGTGACCAATCACAGCTCACACACAGTCTTTCTCAATGGCTGCAAGAATGCAGCCAGAGAGAAGGAGCAATGATTGATTGCTTTTGCACCCATAAAGGCTGTAAAAGCAGTGTAAAAAAAAAAACAAAAAACCATCACCCCCCACAAGCAGTACAGTACGTTTGCCCGCACCTGCCTGCACTGGATCACCATTGCATGTGATCTGGTTGCATGTGCTACTTTTGGTGCGGTGCAGTGCGATTTCAGCCAATTCCATATGAACGTGTGAATCGCATAGGAATGCAAAGCACGTTCCTGTGTGATACAGATGTGGGAAAAGTGAAGCGAATGAAGTGCAGCAATCAATAAATAAAAAACAGTGACCCCCCCCCCCCCCCAAAACCTATATAGGTTCATTTTTAAAATGGTTCTGGCAAGGATGGTCCAAAGCTGACTGTCATCAGCATCAACCAATAGGATCACAGATATTCTGTTACGGTAGCAAATGAGAAACTTTTCAGACCAGTTTGTGCCTCAAATCCTCCTCATTCCTCATCATGTGTTTTGTTGTTCCTTTAGATGACATTTCAGGAACTTTGCCAGAATGTCCACACAGTGAAGAGTGGGGGCCAGCAGATCTTCCTGGGCTCCAGGGTCATACGACCACCTCATCGAGGACATTTTCAGGGTACGTCCCCTCAGACTTATTGCTGTTCAGACATCTTTTGCAGCATTGTTGAATTCCTAAAGTAGAAGTTGAGTTGCGCACATACAAACCCTTGATCGTAGGGTGGACCTGTCATCGACACTAAGAGACAGAACATACACCAATCAGCCATAACATTTCGAACACTGAGAGGTAAAGTGAATCACCTTGCTACGATGGCATATATGGGCGGGATATATTAGGCAGCAAATGAACATGTTCTCCCTGAAGTTGATGTGTTGAAAGTAGAAAAAATGGACAAGTGTAAGGATCTGAGTGACTTTGACAAGGGCCAGATTGTAATGACTAGACCAGGGGTGGGCAACCTGCGGCTCTCTAGCTGTTGTGGAACTACATTTCCCATGAGGCATTGCAACATTACAAAACTGACAGTTACAGCTAAGACTTGCAGAGGCATGATGTAACTTGTAGTCCTGCATTGGCTGGAGAGCCGCAAGTTGCCTACCCCTGGACTAGACGATTGGGTCATAGCAACTCCAAAACTGCAGCTGTTGTGGGATGTTCCTGTTCTGCAGTGGTCAGGACCGACCAAAAGTGGTCCAAGGAAGTAAAACCGATGAACTGGTGACAGGGTCATTGATGCATATGGGGGGCGAAAGCTGGCCCATATAGTCCAATCCGATAGAAGGGCTACTGCAGCTCAGGTGTCAGAACACACAGTGCATTGCAGTTTGCTGTGTATGGGGCTGTGTAGCCGCACACTGGTTGAGGTGCCCATGCTGACCCGTGTCCACAGCCAAAAGGGCCTACAATGGACACGGGAGCATCAGAACTGGACCACAAAGCAATGGATAAAGGTGGCCCGGTCTGATGAATCAAGTTTTCTTTTACATCAGGTGGATGGCTGGGTGCGTGTGCGTTGCTTACCTGGGGAAGAGATGGCACCAGGGTGCAGTATGAGAAGTCTGATCCATGGCGGCCCCACCTTGTACCTAACAGGGCTTAAAGGATCTGCAACTGGCGGCTTGGTATCAGATACCACATCATACTTTCAGAGGTCTGGTGGAGTCCATGTCTCGATGGGTCAGGGCTGTTTTGGCTGCAAAAGGGTGACCTACTCAGTATTAGGTGGGTGGTCATAATGTTATGGCTGAGTGGTGTATGTCAGAATGACCAAATCACGATTATTTTCAGTAAAAAAAAAGTACTATTTGCCATAAATTAACACATCTGGTCCTGAGCTCCCTCCTGTAGCCTAGGAAGCCTGGATCACATGGTCCCTGGCTAAAAGGAGCTTTTAGGATGTTTAATGTGATTAGAGACTGCCAGTCACCTATTTAGGATGTTTGATGTCATTAGAGACTGCCAGTCACCTGTTTAGGATGTTTGATGTCATTAGAGACTGCCAGTCACCTGTTGTAGTCTTGATATTAAGCAGTTGATGACTGTCCAACAGTAAAAATACTGCAGACCGGTGGCTCTCCTGCACTGGATCGCGTACATGAGCCGGCTCTTCCGAGTAGGAGGCATGCACGAACACGCGCCTGCCTCCCCGTCTGTACTGTGATTCACTCTAACACAGTGGGCTCCGGCCAATGATTTAGCAAATTTTTTTTCTCCTTGCAAAGCAGCTACATTCTACCAAATACTGTGTCCTGTACCTCTGAATGGCCAGTCAAAGTATAAAAACTGACCACACTAACACAGATCCCCTCCTATGCTTTGTGTGGTCAGTTTAGAACAAGGAACGAAGGTGACTGGCAGGATCAACAAGGTACTTCAGATGGAAGAAGTACATGAAAATGATAGAGACTATGGGCAGCACAGTGGCTAAATGGTTAGCTCTTCCACTTGGCACTACTCGGGTCGTTGGTTCAAATCCCAACCATGGCACAACCTGCTTGGAGTTTCTATGTTCTCCCTGTGCCAGCATCTGTTTGCTCCGGGTACTTTGGTTTCCTCCCACACTCTCCAAAGACATGTTGGTAGGTTAATTGGATCCTGTCTAAGTTGTCCCTAGTATGTGTATGTATGAATGTGAGTTAGGGACCTTAGATTGTACACCCCTTGAGGGTTAGGGACCTTAGATTGTACACCCCTTGAGGGTTAAGGACCTTAGATTGTACCCCCCTTGAGGGTTAGGGACCTTAGATTGTACACCCCTTGAGGGTTAGGGACCTTAGATTGTACACCCCTTGAGGGTTAGGGACCTTAGATTGTACACCCCTTGAGGGTTAGGGACCTTAGATTGTACCCCCCTTGAGGGTTAGGGACCTTAGATTGTACCCCCCTTGAGGGTTAGGGACCTTAGATTGTACCCCCCTTGAGGGTTAGGGACCTTAGATTGTACCCCCCTTGAGGGTTAGGGACCTTAGATTGTACACCCCTTGAGGGTTAGGGACCTTAGATTGTACCCCCCTTGAGGGTTAGGGACCTTAGATTGTACGCCCCTTGAGGGTTAGGGACTGATGTGAATGTACAATATATATGTAAAGCGCTGCGTAAATTGGTGGCGCTATATAAGTACCAATAATAATAATAATTTATAAACTACACATACGGAAACACATAGAAAACAAATGCATATTTATGGTAACATTAGATGTGACTTTTCTTCCCCCAGCTCTCGCTCCGGCTCGCATAGTCCCTCCAGCCAACGTAGACAACACTCCTCCTGACACGGCGGCCCCTCGAATCCCTGAAGAACTTGCACGAAAAGAGACCTCTAACTATTCCTACCAGCAGATCAACTGCCTGGACAGCATCATCCGGTAAGAAGGGATCAGTAATCCAGCTGTGTGCAGGCCAATGCCATCCTCACCGTACCACCCTCCTGTGCCCTTTGCTGGTTGGCAGACTAGACTTTGGCACAATCAATGAGGCCCACTCAGTGGAATCTGGCCTTGGGCCTCTTTTTTCCTTTGCTGATCTTCCATCTCCTTTACAGATACCTGGAGAGCTGTAACCTTCCGGCACGGTGAAGAGAAAATGTGGCTCCTCATCGTACACCTCATCCACCTCCACCTCCGAGGAGGAGAAACAGAGGACCGGGGAGAGCGACAAGGAAGGTGAGACTGGGGACACACGCTGGTGCAAGTAGCAGAAATTGAGGGGTGGAAATGTTAAAGTCGTGTTTTGCTGTTTGCATTTCTTCACAGATCCCTCGGCTGGCCCACCACAGCGGCAGGATCTGCCTCCTCCACCCCACACCAGCAGCAGTGGCCTCCTCACCTCTGGCTCCTCTGCCTCCTCTTCCCCCCAGCAAGGCAGAGAGCGTGGTGTCCATCACTAGCCAAGGAAGCTTCAGCAGCACAATAGTCCATGTGGGAGACAAAAAACCGCCAGACTCGGGTAATTTGCTTGGGGGCCAGTCTACTGCTGAGGATTCGGGGTGGAAGGGACTGGTGGACCAATGCTGAGCAACGTGTGCAAAATCTACATCTTGTGTGCAAAATTGTGTATCTTTTTTTTTTTCCTTCTGCTTTGGTGTGGTACTGCGGGTCTGTCACTTTCCAGCAGGGCAGATGAGGTCTGACGCTTAATTCTTTCAGAAGATCAACTATATAAAAAAAAAAAAAACAAGCTGAAAGTCTAAATCATACTCGCAATGGGAGCACTCGAATTCCTCCTAGTGAAGAGATGTTAAAGCGGAGCTCCACCCAAAAGGGGAAGTTCCGCTTTAAGGACTGCTCCCTTGCTCCCCATTAAGGATTGCACCTTTGGGGGGCGGGGGGAGCGGGTACCCGAATTTAACAGGTACCTGCTCCCATTTCCGGTCCGATTGCCCAGGCCAGGGGTAGGCAACTTGCAGCTCTCCAGCTACAAGTTCCTTCATGCCTCTGCAAGTCATAGCTGTAACTGTCAATTTTGCAATGTCTCATGGGAAACAGCTAGAGAGCCGCAGGTTGCCTACCCCTGGCCTAGGCGATCGGAAACAGAAGGGGTCCTCCCTCCCCTCCCCTCCCTGTAGTCTTTTGGGACACGTGACAGGTCCCAGAAGACTACAGGACCATTCATGAAGTGCAGCGCTACTCGCACATGTGCAGTGGGTACCCGGCTGTGAAGCCGTAAGCTGTCACCGCCGGGTATCCACACTGAAGATCGTGGAATCCAAGACGGCCAGTGAAACGGGCTGCGGGGGACACACCGTGGGACCAAGGGACAGGTAAGTGGCTGTTTTTTAAAAGTCAGCAGCTACAGTTTTTGTAGCTGCTGAATTTTATTTTTTAACAGGTGAGTGGAACTCGGCTTTAATTAACCACTTGAGCTCCGGAAGATTTTACCCCCTTCATGGTCAGGCTGTTTTTTTGCTATTTAGCAGTGCACTACTTTTAATGGCGCGGTCAACACTGTACCCAAATAAAATTTATATCACTTTTTTCACACAAATAGAGCTTTTTTCCGGTGGTATTTGATCACCACTGGGATTTTTATTTTTATATTTCAATATTTTTATTGAGAAACAAGCATATTAAAGCGTAAAACAAGATGGCAAACAATAAAAGAGAAAAAAAAAAGGGCCCACCCGCATGGTGGAACAAGATGTAGAATCATAATCATAACACTGGTAGGTGGATTTTTATTTTTTATACATTTTTTATATTTTTTTTATTTATATAATTTTTATGCAATATAAACAAAACAAGACCCAAAATAAATAAAATTAAAAAGAAAATTAAGAAAAAAATTTTAAAATAAAATTTAAAAAAAAGTCTACTGTAAAACATATTCAATTAAAAAAAAAATCTAATTTCTTAATGAATTTTGGCCAAAATGTATTCTTCTAAATGTCTTTGGTACAAAAAAATAATCCCAATAAGTGTATATTGATTGGTTTGCCTGAAACTTATAGCGTCTACAAACTATTGTATAGATACTGGGATTTGTATTTATTTATTTTATACTAATAATGGTGGTGATCAGTGCCTTTTAGTAGGACTGCGATAGTGCAGCTGGCAATCTGACACTAACTGATGCTGGGAGTGGGGCTGACTAACTGCCACTGACATCTCCAGTGACACTAATACAGTGATCAGTGCTAAAATATAGACTGTCACTGTACTAATGACACTGGCAGGGAAGGGGTTAACGTCTAGGGCGATCAAAGGATTAACTATGTGCTGTGTGTGTGTGTGCTTTCAACTGTAAGCACACTGCTTTGTCTGACTATGCAGAGCCAGACAAAGCAGTGTGCAGGAGCTGACAGGGGAGAGATCTGTATTGTTTACATACAGTCCTCTCCCTCCGTCGGTGATTCTAAGCGATCACCGGGTGCCAGCGATTGACAGCCGAGGCTGCAAATAGCGGGCGGGTAGGGCGCGTGTACGGCTCACGGGCGTCCCCTACCTAAAATGTAAAGGATTAAATGTGTGCCTAACAATGTTTAGTGCATGTACTGTGTTCTGTTTTATTAAGCACTGTGCTGTTTTTTACTCCCTGCTTTGCAGAGAGAAAAAAAATACTGCATATTGCTGCTGTCTGAAGAGAGCCCTGTGTTGTTTACCAACACAGAGCTCTCTGCTATCATTCCCAAAGCTGATCAGAAGGTCCCGGCCATAAATCATTGGCTGGGACTTGCTGATTGCCTTGCGCCTCCTCGAATGATAGCCCAGTGGTTCGGGTCTGCACGCATGCATGCGCTCGCGGACCCGGAAGGAAGCAGCGACGTACAGGTACGTGATTGTGCCTGTACAAGCCGACCTGCCGAAGTAAATGTACTGTGGCGGGTTGGCAAGCAGTTCTAGTGGACCTTGCATGAAAACAGTCTTGCTAGGCAGTAGCTCCTTCCGCCCTAGACTGGAAAAAAATGATTGAAGCAGCCTTTCCCAAGCTTTTTGACATGCAGGATCAGCCTCAGGGAACCCCTAAATATAATTACTATGTCTTCAGCTCCTAGAACAGTAGTGTGATCGTGGGGAAAAATGACCCTTCTATTTGTGGTCAGTGCTCAGAATCCCCCCTAAAGCCTCAGTTTAGGTATTTTTCTTATAATAATTCCAGTGATGGATATTTTATGACAGATTGGGGTTCAGTGAGCGCTAAAAGAAACAGCAGCTGATACACTAAAAAAGGGAAACTATAAAACCTTCCAAAATAATCTTAACATATGTAGTGCAGCGCTCAGAATAATGTATATGGGCACACCTACTATGGGATATATAAAAACGGTACAAAGGTGCCTGAAATAACCAGTATTACTAAAGACACAGTGTATAAATAATGTCCTTAACAGCAGTGCAGTGGTTAAATTATACCAGACACATTCACTAGCTTCATAATACAGTGCAAATGATAGTCCAAAAAAATATTTGATGGCGATGAAACCACGATTAAACTGAAAAAAGGTGACTTGATTAAATCCCAGTGACAACTATGATCCGGTGTTGTGCAGGAATAATGAGTGAATTGCACACTCACCAGAGGCGCAATATAAATGCACATTTATGTCATATGTAACAAAGGTCCCCTCAGTCATAGATGGGATGTAGCCTGGAATGGATAACTCCTCAGTGGATAATAGAACTCCTAGAGGTCCCCTTTAAAGGCCTGGCTACAGACGGGATCTGCTGGGTACAGCTCTCCTCTGGGCCCTGGGATGGTCACCTGGTGGTCCAGGGGGGTTAAATGCTCAACGTAGAGCAGAACAAAGTACCCATGATGCAGTAATTTGATCAAAATGGAAATGACTTTATTAAAAGTCAAAGTAAAAGCACACTTTTTAGGTACTGGAGTAAAATTCAATCCTTGTGCACAAAGGATGCAATAATAGTAGAATGCAGCGTAAACTGTAGTGCACACTGACCAGCTGGTAGTATTGGGTGGCCGCCGGACCTCCTTGATGACGTCACGGCTAGCAGGGGCTCCTCCTTGACGCACGTTTTGTGTCACACGTACATCTTCAGAAGGGGTAAGCGCCATGGCAGCCGGACGTCAAAGCAGCTATATATATATAGTATAGTGTATTGGGCGCCTGCATCAATTAACCTCCCTGGCGGTCTGATTATTTCCGTGCTGATTAAAATCGGTACTTTTTTTTTGCATGGAAATATGTCGTTTTTTAATTGTAGGCCTGTAATTCTTAGGAATAACTCACTGAAATCTGTCCGAACAAGAGTCTAGTAAACATCCCGGGTAAAATTAAATTTGAAACCCAAAATCATAAATTATAATTTAATAAATAATCATAAAACATAATAAAATAATAATAATAAATTTAATTCAATAATGTAATCAAACCAAAAACACTGAAATTTTAAATATAGAGGCAAGTTCGCACATTGCTGAGCTCAGTCGCAGAATCGTTTTCAGTGTCTGATGAGGAATTTCCCCCACGAATCATTATCACTCAATTCTGCAAGTGGTTCTGATTTACTATCGTTGTCTCTAGCCGGTCTAAAACCGCTTTTGACCTAAAGGGACGCTTTTTGGACGCCATGGACGTTTCTCAGTTTCCAGGCAGAAAGAACAGTAAAAATGCAGGCAGGGCGCCGGACAAAGCACTCGGGACAAAATGTATGTGAAATGCATTGAAACAGCAATGTTTTACTATATAATAATCATTTTTTAAAAAATGACATTTTTTAAAAATTTCAAATTTGCCGCCGGTTCCGGCGCCCGTACGTCCCGACGTCACAGGGACCGGAACACGGAAGCCGGATGCCGGCATCGGCCGGAGGAGATGGCTGGGGACGCTGCAGGGGACACATCGCGGGGAGCGAAGGACAAGGTAAGTGCTGCAGGGACTCCCTGAGCAACGCCGCATGTGTATTCCTGAGTGTAGCACGGGGTTACCGCTCTTGGTACTGAAATTTTACCCCGAGCTACACTCGGGAATACCGCCAGGGGGGTTAAGCAGGCACCATTTTGCCAATGACCGGTGCGCAGGATTTTATACATAGTTCCATTTGTTCCATCTTGGACCAATGGGTGTAGCTCTGATAAACCGCTTGATGACATTTCTCAGATACTCAGACTTTAGCGGTTTCCTTCCCGATCGGGTCACATGTAAGCCTGTCTTGCTTGGTTGGAATGCACTTTTTTCCTTAATCTTTTAATTTATAAAATGTAAGAGTGTCTCTGCCAGGGGCGGACTGACAACTCATGGGGCCCCTGGCAACAGGAGATCATGGGGCCCCTGTGTCCTTGCCCATACTCAAAAAAGCCTATGAAAAAGTTACCAGGGGCATCTCATGGGGCCCCCTACTGACCCCAGCCCTCCGGCAGTGCCCAAGTTTCCAAATGGTCAGTCCGCCCCTGGTCTCTGCCTTGCCTGCCCTTTCCATATGTACAAGTAAAAAAAAAAATAAAGAATTCCTAGGTTTTTTATGAAGAACTTATGCATTATATTCTTGTGTTTTCTTCCCACAGCTGAAATGGTACCTTTGGAGGAGTCCCCATGCCCTGCAGCCCCACCACCTCCACTGCGACCGCTGGGGCTGACCAAAGAAGTCCTCTCTGCCCACACTCAACGGGAGGAGCAAGCCTTCCTAACCCGCGTGCACAACCTCAGCCAGCTGCGGGTGTTCGACCCTGTTCCTGCGGGAGCATGGGAGGAGCAGGGCCAACGGGGACCTAGAGGTCAGTTTTCCATCTTCACTGGTACTTTTAGAAGGTTCCAGTCTGCCCTTTGCTTTTGACATCCATTTGTTGTCACTTTAAAATAAGCCATGTTCTCCCAAAAAGAAAATAAGTACACATCTCTCTCGTTACCTGTGCCTCTAAACACCGTTGTAGTGAAGAGGAACTAAATATAATAATTTGGTGCTGCGCTAATAATTTATCCCTTGAATCAAAATAAACAGAAAACTTCACAGAGCATGTAAATCCCAAAATATATATAGAATAGAATGCACATAAAAATCATATATAACAGTGGAACCCCCAAAGTACTAAATCTAGGGTGTAACCTAAGTGCACCATATATAGGTACTAATGAATATGAAGATTTATAGAATAGAATGCACAGGAAAATACTAAATCATATTTTTATCTAGATTTAGTACTTTGGGGATTCCACTGTTATATATGATTTTTATGTGCATTCTATTCTATATATATTTTGGGATTTATATGCTTTCTGTGAAGTTTTCTGTTTATTTTGATTCAAGGGATAAATTATTAGCACAGCACCAAATTATTATATTTAATTATTGTCCATTGTGGTATGTGGTAGGGTGTTAGCGGCTATATTTAGAGATTGACATTCTGAGCGCGGGAGGACTATATAGATATATTAATGAAGAGGAACTGCGTACCAAGAATTCTTCAAAATCTGACACTTTCAGGAGTGTCAATTTCCTTGTCCCCCTGCTGTGCTCAGTGGTTTGATCCGCTGGGCCTTACATCACCACTGTGTCCTGTTTTATCATAGAGGTTGGTGGGAAGAACCACTAAGTGCAACGAGGGATCAGATGATCAATTCTCTCTTGTATTAAGAGGTATAGACTCCAAAGAGAGAGATATCATTTCCCCCGGTACAAATCATTAGTAAGACCTCATCTGGAATATGCAGTTCAGTTTTGGGCACCAATTCACAAAAAGAACATTGGGGAACTGGAGAAAGTACAGAGAAGGGCAACCAAACTGATAAGAGGAATGGAGGAGATCAGCTATGAGGAAAGATTAGAGGAATTGAATGTATTCTCTCCTGAGAAGAGGAGATTAAGGGGGATATGATCTCCATGTATAATACATAAGGGGGGATATGATCTCCATGTATAATACATAAGGGGGGATATGATCACCGTGTATAATACATAAGGGGGGATGTGATCTCCGTGTATAATACATAAGGGGGGATGTGATCTCCGTGTATAATACATAAGGGGGATATGATCTCCATGTATAATACATAAGGGGGGGATATGATCTCCATGTATAATACATAAGGGGGGATGTGATCACCGTGTATAATACATAAGGGGGGATGTGATCTCCGTGTATAATACATAAGGGGGGGATGTGATCTCCGTGTATATAATACATAAGGGGGGGATGTGATCTCCGTGTATAATACATAAGGGGGGGATGTGATCTCCGTGTATAATACATAAGGGGGGGATATGATCTCCGTGTATAATACATAAGGGGGGATATGATCTCCGTGTATAATACATAAGGGGGGATATGATCTCCGTGTATAATACATAAGGGGGGGATATGATCTCCATGTATAATACATAAGGGGGGGATATGATCTCCATGTATAATACATAAGGGGGGATATGATCTCCATGTATAAATACATAAGGGGGGATATGATCTCCATGTATAATACATAAGGGGGGGATATGATCTCCATGTATAATACATAAGGGGGGATATGATCTCCATGTATAATACATAAGGGGGATATGATCTCCATGTATAATACATAAGGGGGGATATGATCTCCATGTATAATACACAAGGGGGGATATGATCTCCATGTATAAATACATAAGGGGGGATATGATCTCCATGTATAATACATAAGGGGGGGGATATGATCTCCATGTATAATACATAAGGGGGGATATGATCTCCATGTATAAATACATAAGGGGGGATATGATCTCCATGTATAATACATAAGGGGGGGATATGATCTCCATGTATAATACATAAGGGGGGGGATATGATCTCCATGTATAATACATAAGGGGGATATGATCTCCATGTATAATACATAAGGGGGGATATGATCTCCCATGTATAATTAATAAGGGGGGATATGATCTCCATGTATAATACATAAGGGGGGATATGATCTCCATGTATAATACATAAGGGGGGGGATATGATATGATCTCCATGTATAATACATAGGGGGGGATATGATCACCATGTATAATACATAAGGGGGGATATGATCTCCATGTATAATACATAAGGGGGGATATGATCTCCATGTATAATACATAAGGGGGGATATGATCTCCATGTATAATACATAAGGGGGGGATATGATCTCCATGTATGATAATGTACATAAGGGGGGGATATGATCTCCATGTATAATACATAGGGGGGGATATGATCTCCATGTATAAATACATCAGTGGTTCATATAGTGAACTCGGTGTAGTTATTCCCCCTGAGGTCATCACAGAGGACAAGGGGGCATGCTTTAAGTCTGGAGGAAAAGAAATGTAATCTCCAAACACGGAAAGGTTTCTTCACAGTGAGAGCTGTGAAAATGTGGAATAGACTCCCTCAAGAGTTGGTTGTGGCCAGCTCAGTGGATTGCTGTAGGAAAGTCCTGGATTCTTTCTTGGATACACAGAATATAACTGGATATAACATTTATAGGTAAAGTTGATCCAGGGAATATCCGATTGCCTCTCGGGGGATCAGAAAGAATGTTTTTCCCCTGCAGGTGCAAATTGGATCATGCTTTGCTGGGTTTTTTTTTTTTACCTTCCTCTGGATCAACTGTGGGTATAGGATTAGAACTTTTTTTTTTCATTTATATGGTTGAACTGGATGGACTTTTGTCTTTTTTCAGCCAGACTATGTAACATTCTCAGTAGTGTCTGATTCTAAAGTTCTCCAGTGGCACTTTCTCCTAAATAAGGGGCCTTCAGCAGCATGAGCAATGGTAGAGGTAAGTATTTACTATATTGTTTCCAGGAGAACATTGTTTTGCCATTTTTATTTTACCGACCGAGCCGCTTTTAGAAGGCAACTCCAGCACAGAGGGCTTAGTACAGATCTAGTAGCAAGAGCCCAAAAATCAATGTAATAATATATTCTACTCTAATAAACTGGGCTATAGGAAGTCTAATTATTTCAGCATGGTGTCCTTGTCCTATGGGCTCACCTACATTGGAAAGTGACCTCTACAGTGGGATGGCTCTCCTTGGACCTCTCATACCTCAATATCTGAGCAGCCTTCCAGTTAGTTGGAGATGTTCAGCTTTTGTGTCCCATCCCTCCTTCCTATAGACAACCTGCATGTGCCATTCTCATCCTCCAAGGGGGATGCCAGAGCCCTATGTGATTTAAAGTGCTTCTAAAGCAAGGGTGTCCAAACTATGGCCCTCCAGGTGTTGAGGAACTGCAAGTCCCATGAGGCCTTGCAAGACTCTGACATCCACAGGCAAGACAACCCAGAGGCATGATGGGACTTGTAGTACTTCAACAGCATTACGGTAAAGAACCTTGTGTGCACAGGATCCCCCCAGCCCCCTTTATACTGACCTGAGTCCGAAACCCTCCAGCCTCCATTCTACTGACCTGAGTCCGAATCCCCCCAGCCCCCCATTAAACTGACCTGAGTCTGATCTCAATCCAAGAACAGCGGCTCTGTCTGCTCTCTCTCTCCTCACAGGACAGAGAGGCAGCAGCAGGAGCCAATGACTGTCAAATTCTGTGTTGGGGGGCTGGGCTATGCTGTCTGTGTCTATGAACGCAGGCAGCCTGGCTCGGGATTGAGTCTTCACAAGTGGCCCCATAGGAATCAGATTCCTAGGGGGGCATGCGCCGAAGAGGAGGGACCAGGAGTGCCGACGTTGACCCCAGAAGAGGAGGATTAGGGCTGTTTGGTGCAAAACCAGTGAAGGTAATTATGACAATCCTTTAGGAATGAAATGTCTATGCATGTTTTCTCCTGCTGAGGGGTAGTCCACTTCTTTAGTAAATTTACTGACATATGTACATTATTCAGGTTCATATTAATGAAGACACCTGTATTTATTTAGCAACATGATCTGTCCTGTGGAATTTATGTATCCGTAAATAAAGTTGACCTATGCTGTGAACATTGATCTGTGTTAATAGTCTTCTAAGGATTCATTAATTGAGAGAAGCAGAATGGCTGAAAGCTTTCCTGGGGCAGATGCTGCTCCTGGCACCCAATGGTCCTGCCAAGATGACCGAAGGCTCTAAATCAGTGGTTCTCAACCTGTGGGTCGTGACCCCTTTGATGGTCGAACGACCCTTTCACAGGGGTCACCTAAGATCATGGGAAATATATTTCTGATGTGTAAACAGCAGCTACTGTGCAGAAAGCAGCTGCTGTGCTGAAAGCAGCTACTGTGTAGAAAGCAGCTACTTTGCAGAAAGCAGCTGCTGTGTAGAAAGCAGCTACTGTGTAGAAAGCAGCTACTGTGTAGAAAGCAGCTACTGTGTTGAAAGCAGCAGTATTGGAGGTAAAACGACACTCATGAATTATAATTACTGGGTAAATAATTTTATGGTTGGGGGTCACCACAACATGAGGAACTGTATTAAAGGGTCACGGCATTAGGAAGGTTGAGAACCACTGCTCTAAATAGTCACATCACACACAACCTCTGCTGGAGGGGGAGATTGGCCATTTGAACGTTAACCCTTTAGCAGAGTTCATGTGACTAAGGGCTGAGGCCTGTATAGTTACCTGACTCTAGGAAAAGATGCCCATCATGGCCATTCAGAATAAGTAATTTGGCTATGAATTGTTTAGATGTTTTCAGAAATTGGTACTTTATTTGGTGGTCATTTGTGAATATTACTTATTCTAATTTTCTTCCACACAGGAACTAAGCCCTCCAGATCCCACCAACATCACCACAGCTCTGCCAGCAATCCTGCTCCCCCATCGCGGGATGGTACAAATAATGGAGGTCGTCGGGGCAAAAGCAGAAAATCCAAAGCCAAGAGGCCAAAGCAGGGCAAACCTTTGTCACCCACTTCCATGCCAACGACCAATCTCCCTGAGGCTCCTCTCCTGCCTCCTCCGCCCCCAGTCATCCCTGGTTATCCCCTCCCCATGTTCCCTCCCCGACCTCCTGTTCCTGAACCAGCCCCGCCCCTCCCTAGATACCCTCTTGTCACACCCATTGTTGCCCTCGTACTCCCCAACTATCTCTTCCAACCTCCCCCAGTGGCACCGCCCTTCTTTCCTGGAGTTTCAGGGTTCCCTACCTTTAATCCCACTCCAGAAGCTCCAACGCCAGCCTCTGAAGCCCCTCCACCCACACCAACTCCTCCCACCCCTGTGGCCACCTGCCCACCACCTCCTCCTTCACGCTCCTCCTCCCCGCCCCAGCGGCTCTTCCCGTCACGATGCAGCTCTCCGCTACAGCTTGACTTACTGCAGATGGAGGAGCTGCCGCAGCCCAGTACTGGAGGAGGAGGACCAGGAGGGGAGCCAGAGGAGGAAGGAGGAGGAGCCCCTGGTAATACTACATCCGGAGGGCCCAACCAGGGGACAGGAACTGGAGAAGAAGAGACAGACAGCCAGAGAACTGCATGGTGATTATTTATGTTTCAATGCCTCCTTTACATTGTTACAGTGTCATGCGCTGTCATCACCTTTCCCATCTTGTCATTCTGTATCCACCCGACCTTTACAAATCCCATGTGACCCCAATATTATATCTTGGTGTGTGTATACCACCCTATTATATCCTTTGTGTGTGTTCTGTACTGTCCTCCCTATCTCCGTCCTGTCATTGTGTGTACCATTCTGTACTATCCTCATCTCCTCTGTCTACTCAGACCTATCTAACGGCCTCCTTTCTTGTCCATGGAGGGACACAGGAAATGTATAATATTTGGGATATTTTGCCACATAAAGGAGGAATGTACACCCGCAAACAAAAAGACTGTAGGCCAGCCCAGCATAGCCCCTCCAGCTACCAACATGTCTCCATTTTTGCTAGTGTCCTAGGAGGGTGGACTTCTTTATTGCAGCTTTGCTGTGTTGATGACTGAAGGTTTTAGACAAATTCATTTTTTTTTTGTAGAACCTTTTTTCTTTAATTAAGACTACATCACTGCTGGAACATCAATTGCAGCAATCCAGTGTGGCTGTCCTCAGTGCCACGTCTGGACCCCCTGCATTGCTGTAGGGATAACTTTGGGCACTGGGTTCCTTGTAGGACACTTTCCAGAATCTGTGCTGCTACAGGTTAGTCATGGAGTGCTTTCCAGGCCCAGAGCTCTTGGAATTGCCTCAGCTCTTGTCCTGCTTCTGGAGAGTTGCTTTTTGAGTAGGCCGGTTGGGCTGAGCACTCGGAGCTACCTCATTTACTTAGGTCCCTGGGCACCTTTTAAAATTCTCCATTTCCCACAAGATTTCTCTACATACAGGGTTAATACTGTTGGACTGAATGCTGACATCATCTACTGGGGGGGGGGGGGGTCCCGTGTCCCATGCGCTCAGCTCTGTTTCTTGTCATACAGCATCAAGGAATCATATCCATGCTGCTCCTGCTTGCAAAAGCAAGGTAAAACTCCAGGCTTTGGTCCAATCCTGTTCCATGCCTACAATGATTTTGGTCACCTGTAGCCATCTGCTACCAGCTGTCCAGGTTTTGTGATTCTCTGGTGACCTTGCCATGAGTCCTGAGCCTTGCGTTGCTTTACCACTGTGTTTCTATAACATGTCTGATTCTGGACATGGGGGAGGAGGACAATCCCATTGTACCAAGTGCCTTCATCTCTCACTCTACCAGCGTCTCCAGGGCTGTTTGTATTGTGCCTACTGATAGTGGCGACACATGCTGCCTGGAGTGATGTTGCCCTCTTAGAGTTGGCACCAAGAAGTGACATACAACACATTAAACACCCAACTCTTTTTTAAGCAAGCAAGCTTATGGTCTCACGGATCAGGTTCCACCCTCTCCATTGAAAAAATGAGGCATATGCCGGTAGTGGGAAGGGCCTGGACTGGCCTACAGTTTCATTTTGTTTGTTAGGGCCCATTTTTCCCCTAGGCAGCAGTACAACCTGAAGGTTAAATGCTTCACGTTGGTTTCCCATGAAAATAATTATATCATGAAAATTCTCTTTCTCCTCATCTCCAGGGTGATAATCAGGAGTCCTCATCGCACCACGATGCTCTGTCTAGTTCTAGTGATCTTCTGGATCTCCTCCTCCAAGAGGATTCCTGCTCTGGCACCGGCTCTGCTGTTTTCTGGTTTCATGGGCTCTAATGGAGGCAGCACTTCCGCATGCGGCACCAGTAAGATATTTGATTTATTTGTGTTTATCTGTAGATTAACTGAGACAACATTTTTTTTGTTATATTTGCAATACACGTTTATATCTTTTTGTAGAACAAAAAATTTCAAGCAAACCTGTCCTATAAACTAAAAACCAAACCAGTGCTGTGTGCTTTTAGTGCCTCTCCAATCCCTGCTTCAGCTCTTCAGTAAGTGCACACTCTATAATAGTCTCCCTGATGCCCATGAAACAGCGCTGGGGCCTTGGGATTGGCTGTAGAAACCTGAAGAGAGGCAGGGGGCACGTCTTGGGCTCTGTTTCTTTGAATCACCAACATTTTGAAAAACACACAGGAGGGCTCAAATGCAGCCCTCCTCAGATCAGGAATCTTCAACAAACTGCCTAGTACATTACCACCATAAAAAATGGAACGGGTGTGGAGCATAGCTCTGGAGAAAGGGGCATGTTCCCCGAAACACGTCAGCCTTCCAACTGTGGTATGCATGGTTAGATGACATTGCCTTACAGCTGGAGTTGTTTTTTAACACGTCTGTTCCATTTTATGTTTGTATGTTTTTTTGTCTTCTGGATTCAATAAATATTTATGGTGGTAATGCTCTAGGCGTTTGCAGTTTGTTGATTCCTGATCTGAGGAGGGCTGCATTGGGCAAGACATTACAGGCTATGACACCATCAGATGTACTACTGTCTGAGTGCTGGGGTATTTGAACTTTTGTGAACACCAGCATTTTGACTGAGTTGTAGCTTAGATTGGGGTGACGGGCGATTGATAGGTTTTTGGTTTGCTGCAAATGTTGTTTCATATTACGGTCCATGGGGATGCAAAGGTGGCCCTCCTGCATTGCCCAATTTTGGGTCTGTCGAGGTCTCAGCAGAAATTGGCATCCTACCTATTCATTTCAGCCAGACATGCTATAGCTCAAGCTTTGAGAACCCCTTCGGTTGTCTTCCAGGGGGTGAAGACCCGGATGAATGCTATGCTGATCAATGAACAGATGGGTAGCCTTCTTCAAGATTCTCATCCGAGATTCCTTAAGGTTTGGGAACCTTGGATACATTATTCCCCGCCATCCTTGCCTCCTACTAGTTATGGTCTCTTATAGTCGTTGCCTGTGCTGGCCCTGGATCCGTGACTCTTCTAGTCTTCTTTTCTTCCATGTTTTCTCTCTCTGAATCCTTCTTTTTTCCTTCTTTTTTCTATGTTTTTATATTTTCTTATTGCTTTTTTCTATGTTTTTTTTTTTCCGGTAATATGATGGATTGCTGCTGCTACTATTCGCTTTTTGCCGTCCCTCTTTGATGTGATTGGACATTCCATTATTTGGCTAATACAAGTCAGCAGGATGCATCTCTATTTATGTATGTTATTATTCTGCTCTGACCCTGCGTGGGGCGTATCTTGAGCTTGTTGTATTATTAAAACAAAAACTTTCTTAATAAAAATATTAAAATAGATTGGGGTGACGAGCTACAGGCAAGCTACATGGATGGGTGCCCAGCACAAGAGTAAGTTTGACTTCTAGTTTGCACGACAGGTTTGTTTAAAATATTATTCCATGGATTTTTAATTGAACCACTTTATCCCTCCTAATCCATATTTCGCTTCCTTTTTCCTTTTCTTCTCTTAGGGAGCAGCGAGAGCAGCAACACCAGCAAATATTTTGGGAGCATCGATTCATCGGAGACAGATTTGAGGGTTAAAAAGGCAGAGCGGGAAGAGGCTGAGCGGAAAGTTATCAGATATGTCATGCAGGACCCACTGTGGCTACTGATGGCCAATGCTGACCATGAAGTGATGATGTCCTACCAGATTCCCTCAAGGTTAGAACCCTAGATGTTTACTACATGAATAAGGTCTTTAGACTGTTCTAAAATTAGTGTCTGTTATATTTATGGTTTCCGTTGTTTGCATCCACACAGAGACATGCAAAGCGTCCTTCAGGAAGATCGGGAGAAACTCAAGCAACTCCAGAGAAACCAGCCGAGGTTTAGTGAGGAGCAGAAGAGGGAGCTGGGGGAAGTCCATAGCTGGGTCAGAAGAGGACGATTACCGCACGTCATCAATATCACTGTGAGTGTACACGTTTATTGCTCTCACCGCTAGGGGGACTCAGCCTCTATATATCACGGTTACTGTTATCACTGAGAGTGAAAAGTAAAGAAATTCCCAAATTTTGGGTTGTCCACAGAATAGTAATAATGGGGACATTAGTTCATGTGACCCATGAGTCCCGTGAAGACTGAGATTGAGCTCTACACTCACTTTTGCAGCAGTTGTTTTCTTATTCCGGGTCACAATCCTGCTCAATGTCCTTTTTGTCTCATGTTGACTGCACTATTGCTTATCAGACGATTGTTTCCTGGAAACTGTATACGCCATCATAACCTTTGATATTGTACCTGGCGACACGGCAAATAAATTGGCAACTTCAGTCACAGAGGCACCAGCTAAGTGGCACCAGCAATTTGCCCTTTTTGAAGCTCAGCAAGCTCTGACATGACCCCGTTACTTGCAGTGAATGACAAAAGTTAGGATTTTCACCTGTTAGGTGTCTCATCACATAGCAGGAGCAAAAGAATGTTGCTTCACTTCTGCTTTCAATGCAAAACATGTTTTCACACCTGCAAATCATGTAGTGTTTCCATTTTTTTGTCTAACCCCTGTACTTTAACCCCATTTATGCGGGTGGTGCCGCTGCAGATCCGCATGAAAATCCGTGCAGCTGCACCACCCTCACAGAGAAATGCGGACCCGAGGGCGGGTGCCATTAGTTCTAATGGCACTGTTAGGAATCCGCCTGGTGATGCCTCTGGCAGCCCACTAGGCAGGATTACCCAGAGCGTGGAGTCTAAGTCCCGGTCTGCGTGTTCACCGGGGCCCCTGATGGTGGGGATGGACTTGAAGCAGACCA